TTCTTCATTCTCCTTTACTCCAGGTGGTTGGGACCAATTGATGAATCTCAGATGGCCGCTCGCTAGCTTTTAAGACCCCAGATGCCACTCACCAAAGTAGGATGCAGAACATTTTCTTTATAAACTTTGTTATGCCAATTGACCTAGATGTCCCCTGAAAGCATGGTCCCCAGACCCCCCACCCCTGTACTCTGTCCCTTGAAGTGTTTGGCTGTATTCAGGAAACTTTTTAGCTTTGGTTTAGTCCCGTTGTGCTGACTTCCCCTGTAGCGCGTGCTGTCCTTCCCGTCACCTAAGATAATTCTTGTCTACTATCTAGTTAGTGAATAACCCTCACCCTCCCTCCCCACCCTCGTAACCATCAAAGAATGTTTTCTTCTAGGTTTAAACCTTTTCTTGAGTTCTTATAATAGTGGTCTTATACGATATTTGCCCTTCTGTGACTAAATTCACTTAGCATAATGCCCTCCAGATTCGTCCATGTTATAAGATGTTTCACGGCTTCATCACTGTTCTTTATCATTGCATAATCTTCCATTGTGTGAATATACCATAATTTGTTTATCCATTCATCCATTGATGGGCACCTAGGTTGTATCCATCTTTTTGTTATCGTGAACAGTGCTGCAGTGAACATGGGTGTGCATATATCTATTCGTGTGATGGCTCTTTACATAATTCCTTTCTTGAAACTGGTATCAGTGAAACATTTACTTCTGTGTACACGGAGGAATACAAGGTTCTTCAGTGTAACTTGTTTTTTTAATTGTCTAAAATTGAAAACTACCTAAAACCCAAAAAACAAACCAAAAAAAACCCCTAACCTGTTGCCATTGAGTTTATTCCAACTCTCAGTGACTCTACAGGACAGAGTAGAATTGTCCTGTAGGGTTTCCAAGGCTGTAATCTTCACGGAAGCAGACTGCCACATCTTTGTCCCACAGAACAGCTGATAGGTTCAAACTGTCAACCTTATGTTTAGTAGCCAAGTGCTTAACTACTGTGCCACCAGGGCTCCTTGTGGAAATTACCTAAATGCCCATTTTTAAAGGAGATATTAAATAAATTACAGCATATCCATGCTACCGAATACTAAGCAGGATTTTAAAAAATGAGATGAATTTTAAAAGTGTTTTACAGATTCCTTGGTTTCCATGAACACAGATAGAAAGATGTCTAAGACATACTATCGGGTCAATAACTTGCAAACCAATACAAATATGTAAAACCCACCAAACCGATAACATGGGTATGTTTTTGAAGTTGGAAGTTGAATTGGGAGGTGGAAGTTAAGACTCTTTAACATTATCTGTAATTCTTTAATATTTTTTTGGAGAATAATGTTAAATACTACTTATACAAACTTTAAAAGAAAGCAACGTTCTCACCTAGATGATTTTGCAGCTCCCTTGTTTGCCCATCTTCAGTTGGCGTAATGAGATCCCATATGAACCCTTTAATTTTCTCATCTCCTCGGTAGTGAACAAGGCAATATGCTAAAAGGGCTCGGCAAATTATCTCAACATCATGCTCATTCAGTTGCCTTTTAAAACGGCCATGAGAGAGAATCTCTCTCCATCGGCCCCACCTAGTTAAAAAAAAGATATACGTACATTAATATCAACTCGTTAAAAAGAAAAATGGTAACTCATGGATAAAGGCTCTAAAAACAGTTAAAAATATTTTGTCATTAATATGATTTGCCTAATGAAGCTTCCCCCGCACCCCCATGAGTAAAATGCAGAGCCACAGTACAGTAATTTCTAGTATATTTTATTCAATAGCATTCTCCGATTGGTATTACTGAATATGCAAATATGAGAACAACTAGGAGTTTGACTTTGAGGATACATTTATAATTTAAACTCTTGTGATATCCCATCATTCTGCTTTTAAAAATAAGTTAAACAGAAATTCAGGCTACTCTTAAGCAGACGTTATTAATCAGTAACAAAATAAAAATATACTAGAAAACAGTATAGGTTTTCTGTGACTTTATATATCAGACTACTTACAATAGACATTAAAAATATTTTACCCATAAACTAGCAGATTCTTCTCTACTCTAAAGCATTCAGTTCTTCCATAGCCATTGGAACGATCACACGGTCTCCGGAGTTTGGGCTTTTCATCTCCTTCACTTTCAGCTTCAGATAACTCAGCCAATTCATCTTTTGTGGCACTAAAGGGTCTTGTTTGCTTCCTAATTCTTGGAGTGTCAATAACCAAGCTGTTCTGTAAAATTTAACAGCTATTACATGAGGATTCTTTTATGATTTTGCTTATAACAATGTTTTATAATTTCACTTCTGAAGTTGTACAAATAAAGTAATTAAAGACAGTGGGAAAAAAAGAAATTATTTACAGTTCTGCCAATTTACCAAATCAACTGAAAAAAATGTGTATGCTTCTTTAAAAATCTTAGTACAATACATATGGAATTTTATAACTTTATAGTCTCAGGATAAATATCTGGTATTTTGCTTTATTATTAATTTAAAACTTACTGTAATGCTATAATAAACATTATTTAAAACTAAATTTAAGCATAATTGTCTTTAACTAATTCATTTATAATTTAATTTAGATTGTTTCCAAATTTTAAAATAAATGTTTGTGATATAAGTCTATTCTAAAGATAAGTCCCAAAGAAGGAAAATATCCAGGAATGGAAATATTGGTCAAAGGTCATGAATATTTTATAGATCTAGAAGCATGTAGTTTCAGTGCTTTCCAAAAGAGTTATATGCTAAAGAAAAATCGATTTTCTTCTATTTTTTATACTTTTGATTTAAATAAAGAAATTTTTAAAAATTTTATCACGAATTGGAGTTTACTTGGTATAGAGTATATTATAATAATAAGGTGTAGATCTAATGCTTCTCCTGATGCTAACCCAGTATCTTAATAATCATTTATTAAATAACCCTCCTTCTCTATTTCCCTATTAAAGTCTTATTTTTTCTGTTCTTATCATTCTGTTCTTTGTTCTTCATCTTTCATGATCATTACTTGTAGTTAGATTACAGCTTTCAGTATCATTACTTAAATTATACTGTTTCTTCATATTTTAATATATTTTGATATTTTAACATATAGTAAGTAATGCTGGCCTGTCTTTAATATATTTTTAGAAAATTCCTTACTATTTTTCACAATGCATAATTTAAAAAATGTAATTACACAAGTATTAAATAACTATATGTTTATTTATAAAATCCTTAACTTTTTAAGATAACCTACACGGCCCTATTGATTTGACCCTTGTCTATGGCCTCTGTCCTTACCTATGACAACTCTCAATTAACTCCCTATATCCCACCACAATATCTTCTGTCTGTTTCTGGAATACCCTAAGCTCATTTCCACTTGAAGACTTTTGGACTTGTCTCCTATGCCTGGAAAGCTTTTCTCCATGTCTTTGTATTTCTGGCTTCTGATCATTCAAGTCTCAGCACAAATGTCACCCCCAAGTGACATCCCTTGACCATTTTACCTAATGCTATGTCTGCTCCTACAGGTGTTTTCTATCCTCTCTGTTTTATTTTCTTCACCATCTAAAAGTATCATATATATTAATTTACTGCTTTTTATCTGTCTTCATCACCAGAATGTACGCTCTATAAAAGCAGGGATTTGTCTGTCTTGTTCATCACTTAGTCCTAATATAAGAATGGTCCTGGCGCATAGCGTGCTCTTGTTGGATCCACACACATAAATGTGTATTAGTGTGTGTATAACAAACATATACTTGTGAAAAAATCATAATTAAACATCATCCCATAAGTATTGTTCGGTATCTCCCTCTCTTGATTTTTAATTTAACTATATATCTACGTAACTCTTTCTAATTACTGCACTAGACAGCATAATATACTATCCCTCCAGTATAGAGGATTTAATTACTATCTAAGTTTTTGGTATAACAAATGATGCTGCAGTCAATATCATTGTACAACATTTATCAGGGGGAATTTCAGAAATATTTTGTCTAGTTATAAGAAAAAATTATTAACATTTTGATTTGGGTTGCTTTAAGTCTATGAGTTAAAATTTCTGTTTATAAACTTACTTTGTTAAAATGTTCAAAATATGTAGATTTTTCTTTCTCACTGACAAATCTCCCTCCCAATTTGGTATTTCACTTTATTGAAGTCCTACACATCTATCTTTAAATATATTCTTAAATTTTGTATATCTTTTTCCTGCTGAAGTAGATCTCCACTTGCACTGAACTTTCTTTTATTTTATATTTAGGAAGGCTAGAAAATATATTTATCTTCTATCCAATTAATTCACTAAACTCATTTATGAATTTTAAGTGTTTTACAGATTCCTGTGCCTTTGTAGACACATAAACCGTTTTCTAAAAAATGTTATTTTTAGAACTATCTTTTCAAATTTACTTGTTTCATAGGGAATTACATACATTTCTAAAATAAATTAACAATGATTCAAGATGGCAGTGATTTTATTCCTGCCAAATGTAAAGCTTTACATTTTTCAAGGCCATCTATCAAAAGAAGATCTGATACATCAATGCTTAATAGAACATTAATTTAATCGTTTAGCTGTTAGTTTGATGGTGAGTAAGGCTCACTGGATTCCTGTATAATTATTAGACAAGTGTCTTAGAAGGTGAATAGCTATACTATTATTATCACTTCCATGAATTCAGTTTTAGCTCCCCCACTTCCTTTTTTCTTTAGAACTAAGTAAGTATTAAAGGAAGCTTCTTAAAAATCCACTTTCTTGACTACCTTTTTTTTCTTTTGTATTTGCCTGGATCATCATTAATGGGATCTGACACTAAAACAGTGACACCAAGAAAACAAAGCAAAAGAGCAAAATATATATAACCCATGGTCTTGAAGATGTTTTTAAAAATTAAAAAAGCAACTCTATGACAGACCTCAAAAGTATTACACTGAAGCACTGCCTGATTTAATGTGTGATCACTCTACTACTCCAAAATGTATTTATACAAAAGTTATTTCACTGACTGCATAATTGAACATCTTTAAATATTACAATAATATTTCCAAAGCATACTCCCTAAGAGGTGATTTTTTTTTAGAGGAAGAGAAATACTTACTCTGCCACTGATGGCATCTATATCTATTTCTGCCTTTTTAGCCCATTTCTGCCAGAAGTTGGGATCATCTAAGGAAATATCTGTCCGGTTCCCAGAGGCCACAAAACTTGCCTGAAATAGTAATGCAATTTTCAAAATGTTTTCAAGCTTAGAGGGAAAAAAAAAATCTATTAAAGTGTATTTAAAAGACAATCTCCTCACACTGACTATGGATACAATCTGAATTCAGCATATATACATATATTCAATGGATATTTCAAGTGCAATGGTTTGAAACAAAGCACAGCATCTTTTTAAGGTAAACAGCTTAGTATCAACACAGGCTAGAATCATAGCAGCAGAGTTAAGTAAGTTATTACCGCTGGTTAACTCTTAAACTTTTGATAAGCAAGGATCAAATCTTCTTATTGGCCAGGAAACGACACAGGACAGATACATGCTTTCTAAAGACACCAGATGAATTATCGAGATATTAGGTTAAAATACGAATTTCAAAATATGCCTGTACTATACAGTTCTATTTTCTGGTATACTTGTATTTTATTTCCATCACATCTTTAGGTAGATACATCTCCTTAAGAAAATGCAGTATAGGATATGGTAAATGAAGAAAAATGAATCACTGTCTTTAAAACAAAAACAAGAAAAAAACAACACTTTTCTCCTTACCACAAAAACATTGCATAATTATAAAACTTTAAGAAAATATAGAGGAGCAAAAGAAGAAAATATACTTTATTTTTTAAAATATTGTAGAGATTATAAAATTTTTAGTTAGAAGAAACTTTAGATATTATAGTTGAAAACTATAATTTGTAGACTAATTATCATTAATTTCAACGTTAAGTCCCTAGAAATAGATATGCCAAGTCAAAGAAAAGTCGACGTGCTTTATATAAATGAAAGAAACAGTGAAAATACAAATGCTTTAAGAAAAAAAAGTTCCTGGAAAATGCATGCCAAATCTCATAACAATGAATGGATTATGGTTAAATAAAATGATTTTCGAAGAAGAATGTAATTGGTAAATGACTTTAAGATAACACCTAGTTATCTGAGACATAATCAAGAGATAAAAATCGTCATTAATTTTTTTTTTCTTAATGGGATTTAAAAATGCAGATAATTACACATTTAAAAAGATAATAAAACTATTAAAAGAAAACAAAGCATTTATGACATTCACAATAAATGAAAGTTTGAATACCAGATAATTGGTGATACTAAATGTGAAAAATAGTATTGTGGTTATGCTAAAAATGTTTTTAATTTCTAAAGATACATATGAAAATATTTATAGAAGATATGATGATATATAGATGCTATGATATCTGGGATTTGCGTCAAAATGATATGAAAGATGGGTGAGGTAATGATGAAAAAAGTTTAGCATGAGCTGACAAAGCTAGTTCCATTAAACTATTCTGTCTACATTTATATTTTATAAATTATAAAACTTCTAAAAAATGTATAAGAACAAAATTAAAATCCTACATTCTTCTTGCTGAACTTTAAGATTCTGGTCATGATATTGCATATCAAATAGTAAGTACATTCATTCCATCTAGCATTCTTCTGAGGGTGGGTTATTAAGAAATCTGTATACAGCTAGTATTTAAATATTATAAATGTTTAAAAATGTGAATTATACTAGTATAGTTACAAAATAGAAGAAGTAACAGGAATAAATGCTTTAATGAAATGAATTTAAATTCCTTTTTGGGGAGGGGGAGTTTGCTCTGAATAGCTTTAATACTACTGAACTACCTAGATATAGTGATTTTTAAATTTCTTTTAAATGGTGAGTGTGGTAAGTTGAATAATGGCCTCCAAAGATATCCAGGTCCTAATCCTTGGAACCTTGTGAATGTTAACCTCACATGGTAAAAGCGACTAAGAGACTTTTCACACATGAATAAACTAAGGACACTGAAATGGGGAGATTATTCTGGATTATCTGTGTGGGCCCTAAATGTAATCACAAGTGTCCTTATAAGAGGCAGAGGGAGATTGGACTACAGCAGAGGAAAAGGCCATGTGATGACAAAACCAGAGACTGGAGTAATATGCCCACAAGCCAAAGAATGCAGGCAGCTTTAGAAGCTAGAAGAGACTAGAAAGGGATTTTCCCTTGGAAACTCCAGGAACCAGTCCTGCCAACACCTTGATTTGAGCCAAGTAAGACTCAGTTGGGACTTCTGCCCTCTAGAACTGGAAAGAGAACAAACTTGTGCTGTTTTAAGTCACTAAATTTGTGGTGATTTATTACAGAGACAATAGGAAACTAACATAATAAGACACATATTATGATAAACCGCATATTATAAAAACTCATTGCTAACTTGAAGGATGAAAGTTTGATAAAATAAAAACTAGACAGTCATCATAATTTACCTAAAAATAAGTATATTTTGACAATTCGTCATGTTGGTATGAATGAGAAGCTATGAGGGACAGACACCTAACTACTAGGCCCAAGTAATTATTTTAGTATGAGGGGACTTCATCTTATTATTTAAGAAATGAATTTGTCATAACTGAGAGTATATAAAAGCCTTACTTTCAAATCTTTATCAATATAAACTCATCAATTTTTATGAACAGTAAAAAGTTCACCAAATTAAGTTCATAGGGTTTTATTTTATACTGTGGCTTCTATGATACATACCTCTCAAGATTTAACAATCTAGCAAACGAGCTTTACAAGAACTGGAGAACATTTAAAATGAAAAGTCATTAAATAGTAAAAAAAAAAAGGGAACTTGATATTTGAAATAATTTCTCTGCAACGAGCTAAACTTCATGATTAGCTTCTGTTACATTCGTTATAAGGGTAAATTTATTTTCCAACTAAAAACTTTCTAAAATTCTAAATAATTTAAGACACAATTGTTAATTGACATATAACCTATTATCAAGATGAATGACACAATTCTCCAGGATTGCGACAATGGATTAAAGCCTACAAAAATAAAATACCTGTTATGAAAAAGCACATCAAATACAGGTTTACTATTTTCAAATGTTAAATTCTAATATCCTAGCTCCTCCCAAAATCATCTTTCTTAAAATGTGGCCTTCCCTTTATTATTTTCAAGAGAAGCCTTTTAAATGGTGAAATCCATCTTCGTACAACAGAAAGTAGCAAATGTAGAAGGAGGAAAACGTAGAAAGGAAGCAAAGTAGAAAGGAGAAAAATCTCTATGAGTCCGTACAGGACACTGAAATTAAAAAACAAAACAAAACAAAACCTCTTCAGATTAATGCAAGATATAGATTTACCATTAAAAAAGGAATATAAAGTCGGTAAGTAAACTTTTAAAGTTTTCTCCAAACAGGGTAGATGTGTAGGATGAACACTTATTAATGCTTCCTCTCAAGACACAAATTTAATTTATTCCCCCAAATAAGATTTAAACGGTAACTGAAATAAGCAATTCATTCTTTTCTTTTAGTACTTTAAATTACTACAAGTTAATGTAAGATGACAACCTCCGACGTGATTATTTATGTTTTGCTCTGACTTTGGCATATATGTTCTTTGATTTCTAAATTTCTTTGATTTCATATCTACTTTGATTAATATTTAGAACTATTTCCAGTTATTACCCTTATTCCATTTCACTAGGATGTGAAGAGTACACATGAAATTTGATATCAGAGATCAGAAAAGACACAGCAAAAGAGTATGTTACCTATAGTTTTTGAATTAATTCAGTCTATTTGAACATTAAGTAGAACCTCTGAAAATAATTAGCAGGTTAAGAGACAGCTAAATTTTTTCAGTAGTGAAGATGTGAATATTGATGGCATATATATCAAATAGCACTCACTGTTACCTTGGCAAATGTTGACCCACGTCCTTCTGATTCAATTGTAATAGTTTTTGTACGACGTTGTAAAATCTGATCAATATCCTCTTCACAGAATTTAGAGCCTTCATCTTCTTCCTCCATAATAGCACCATATGCACCTCTCCGAAGCAGGTCTTCTATTTCTTTTTTAGAAAGCTGTTGAATCTGAAGAGAAAATAATTTTGGTAACAATCATTTTTTAAAAAGTTCATAAAATGAGAAAACATCCTAAAAAATGTCAAGGAACACAGAAGTAAAGTTTAAACAGCACTTGGGATTTGGGATGCAAATAAAAGAAAATTTTCTGAAAACAGTGAAATTGTTCACTCTTCTTTACCGAGTATCTTTAAAATAAGAATTATCCGTACACCTAAAATGGCTTCTTCAGTAAAACAAACCCTAAGAGGCCAGAAACCTATCTAGGTTTTTTTTTTACTAGGATTCAAATATTGTAGCAATAACAAGATAAAAGAATCCTGAGGAAAAAAATGCCAAAAAAATCATTTACAATAAGGAAAAGCCAATGCTAACAGACTGACACTAAAAAATAATTTAAAAACAATTTATGGAAATAATGCAGAAAATTACACAAATTTTATTTTCCTATGCCATAATGCATATGTCTTAAAAAGAGAGCAAAGAATTTCTATTTTTTAAACACATCTTTAGAATTCATAAGCATGGAGCTATACAGACAGGACAGGATTCAAAAGTGTTATGTAAGCACAGCTCTATTCTGAAAATGCCTCCTATCATAAAAGAATATTATTCAGTATTCAGTATCATGCAAAACTAAATGATACACTACCCAAGGTAAAATTAAATGTACAAAAAAACCCACATAAACTTCAAGTGAAAAAGAAAATATACATACACCACCAACACTACTTTCTCTTCCACTCATGCTCTGTAACACAGCCTTATCTAGACCCAGTTTCAGGCTGGCTCGGTCAAACATCTCTCTTTCATATGAGTTACGAGTTACTAGTCGGTAGACTTTAACTGCTTTGTTCTGACCAATTCTGTGGCAACGAGCTTGGGCCTATAAAAAAATGAAAAGTTATAGATTTTTATTTCACAAAAGTCATTTAATAGTAAACTATCCTGAAGGAATATAAAAGTATATAAGAATTTTTAGACACTCTTGCTTTGAACTAGCTTCAATAATTTTCTAGAAATTAAGGTAGGATTTCCTAGAACGAGAAAGGATTCCACAATTTGCAATAAGTTAAATTTTAAGCTTATATTTCAATGAGAGTATATCTTCACAAACAGGTTTTTAAAGGGGATGCTGTCAGTATAATTCTAGAAAGACCCATGAATTCTATCTATGAACAGATTTTTAGCTGATAGCAACTCAAGGTATGAAGACTTAAAATCCAACCCTTAAATTTTTTTTTTACTATACTGTCAATAATCTTTTCCATATATTTTAGTTAAGCTGGGCAATTCTGAGAGAAGGCAAATAAACAAACTAAAAAACCTAAGGCGAATAACTCTGGAGACCTAAATTTATTTAAACAGAGAAAGAACTAATTCTTCAATATTTAGAGATGTTGGAGATGGGGATGTCAGAGACTACATAAAAGCTACATATTATATCTTGAGTTCCCATTAAACTTAAAATTTGTATGATAAATCTTGACTTGAAATACTGTAAAGACTCGACAGGCATTCCCTAAATTCTTAACCATGCCTGTATTATCTTTATAAAGATTAAATCATGAATTGTGGTTTTTAAAATTTACAGATAGCATCACATTAATTCTATGCCCACTGTTGACATCTTTAGTCTATCCATATCTACTCTGTGCCCCTTGGAACTCAGAATCTTGAATGAACAATGCTCTAGGACTAGAGAAAGTATAAGAGACCAAAATTTTTGTAAGTCTATAACGACTTCCTGTTGTTAGGTGCTGTCGAGTTGGCTCTGACTCATAATGACCTTATATACAACAGCACAAAAATACTGCCCAGTCCTGCACCATCCTCGTAGTCATTGTTATGCCTACAGCCACTGTGCCAATCCATCTCATTGAGGGTCTTCCTCTTTCTCATCACCCTCTAACAAGCATGAGGTCCTTCTCCAGGGACTGGTCCCTCCTGATAACACGTTCAAAGTATGTGTGATGAAGTCTCACCATCCTTGCTTCTAAGAAGCATTCTGGCTATATTTCTTCCAAGATAGATTTGTTCATTCTTCTGGCAGTCCATGGTGTAGTCAATATTCTTTTGAATTATGATGTTGGCAAAAAAGAATATTGCCAACATCATAATTCAAAGGCATCGATTCTTCTTTGGTCCTCCTTATTCAGTGTATAGCTTTTACATGCACATGAGGTGATGGAAAATACCATGGCTTGGACCTGGTGCACCTTAGTCCTCAAAGTGACATTTTTGCTTTTTAACACTTTATAAGGGTCTTTATAAAGACTAGCAGTTGGAAAAACCAACTGAGAGAGAGGTGAGAGAGAAGTTGGAGGATTCAGTACAGTTTTTGCAGTTTCTCCTCAGGTTCTAACAATGTGATTTTATTTTAAACGAACTTTTAGAATATTACATCCCTGTGGTCATTTGTAAGCATAAAACATGCATTCCAAAGGTTTAACCTAGGAATTGGCAAACTAAGGCCTATGGGCTAAATCCAGCCTGCCAACTAAGAATGGTTTTTATATTTGAAGAATGGTCTTATATTTACATAAAAATGGTTTCTAAAAAAAGACTGTAAAAACAAAGATGTGTGACAGAGGCCATATGTGGCCCACAAATGCTAAAATATTTGTTGTCTGACCATCCGTAGAAAGAGTTTGTCCATGGTTTACTATTTTTAATTTTTATTGCACATTAGGTGAAAGTGTACAGAGAAAATTAGTTTTCCACTCGACAGTTTGTACATAAAGTGTTCCATTAACATTGGTTTCATTCCCCACAATGTGTCAGCACTCTCCCCATTTCTCTCCTAGGATCTGCGTTTCCTTTTGCACTGATCTGCTATCCCTTCCTGCCTTCTCATCTTTGCTTTTGGGCAAACGCCCCTTTTGATCTCATATAATTGGTTATTCTAAGGAGCAAGTTCCTCTCGGGTATTACTGTTTTATTTTACGGGCCTGACTAGGGTTTGGCTGAAAGGTGGTCTCCAGGAATGGCTTCAGTTCCAGAGCAGAAGGGTATCTTAGGGCCATAGTCTCTGTTAGACCAGTAAGTCTGATGTTTTTTGTGAATTTGATTTTTTGTTCTATAATTTTTCTCCTGCTCTGTCTGGGACCCAGTGTTGTGATCCCAGTCAGAGAAGTCAGTAGTGGTAGCTGGGCACCATCTAGTTCTTCTGGTCTTCAGGTTGTGTGGGCTGTGCTTCATGTGGTTCCATTAGTCCTTTGGACTAACTGCTCTCTTGAGTCTTTGGTTTTCTTCACTCTCCTTTGCTCCAGACAGTAAGAGACCAATAGATATATCTTAGATGGCCACTCCCAAGCTTTTAAGACCCCAGACACTACTCATCAAAGGAGGATACAGAATTTTATCTTTATGAACTATATTGTGTTAACTGACGTAGATGATCCCCAAGTTTATTATGGTCCTTTGCCTTCAAGCCTAGGAACTTCATCCTGTGAGGTGTTTGGTTATGTCTAAGAAGTTGCCCTGACTGTGGCCCTTGTGTGCGCTATTGTCTACATTAATATATAAACAACTCCTACAGCTATGTATGTAGAACTATCCACCACCAAACCTATATCTGCAGGTGGGTGTTAACCTATTAATTTTAGGTAAGCCTTTGAGATTTTGAACTAGATTACATATAGTTACACAAGTGAGCAGTTTAAAAATTTGTCTTTTATTACACCAGGTATATTCTCAGTAACAATTTACTATTGGTGTTATATCTATTTAAAATAGTGTAAATTATAGTACAACTATTATGAACAACTGTTTCTCTTAAAACTTTTTCTCTCACAGCCCTCCTAGATGCTCATCTTCTACAAACTTTTACCCTACCACTCTAATTAATATCCATCTGTCTATGAAGTCTAAGTAGTCTTAAATTATACACATGCCTTAATTTTCTACAGTATTTTGTAAAAAGGCATGCTATATTATACCTCTTGTCTATGCATACTATACATGTGACAATTAAGATGAAATTAGGAAAAGTAATTATTTTTGAGCAATTAATATTCTGAAAGTTTTACTTATTACAAGTAAGTTATTCTTAGAGGTTAAGCTTCTCAAAAATTCACATAATATACTTTAGTAAAATATTGTACTCAACTAGGTATACTCTGTATTTCAGCTATCTCATCTTTTTAAGAAGTCACAAAAATACGTTATAAATAAGTACATCTTATTATAGTTTATTGTCATTAAATTAAAATAATTTCACCTATTTTATTTGGCATACATATTTTTTAGGGAAGCATACATGTTAGGTTATTCAGATAAAGTTAAGAAGTAGATTACCATAAAGAGTTATATATGTATTTTTAAATTTTCTTAGTCAAAGAATTTATTTACCTGAAGATCATTTTGAGGATTCCAATCAGAATCAAAAATTATACATGTATCAGCTGCAGTTAAATTGATGCCTAATCCACCAGCTCGGGTACACAGAAGAAAAACAAATCGATCTGAATCAGGTTTACTAAATCGATCTATAGCAGCTTGTCGTAGATTCCCTCTGACTCTTCCATCAATTCGCTCATATAAATACCTATCAAATGAAAACACAATGAACTTAGATAGATGGATATAATGAAGATCACATGTAAAGTCGGCTTTTCTACATAATTACGTGTAGTATAAAATTAAGAAGCGATAGCTTCCCAACAGTTTCTATGATTTTATACTTCTTGGTGTTGGTGCTAAGGGGAAAATACAAAGTAACATAAGCATAAAAAAAATCTCTGCATTCCTGAATACAATAGTGAGCTGTTTCAGATGTACAGGTAAAATATCATTACAGTGAGTATCATTTTTGGTAGCTGGAATAACAAGAGCTCACATTTCCACCTCCTGAAACACAGTACTAATTTGTTGATCTCATTATAATAAACAGCACACAAGACTTTATATATAAGTACACAAATATTCTTCTCTATCCTTAATCCAGGTTACTCTCAGATGATATGCTTATATGTAAGTGGTATACATGTGACACTGGCCACATCTCTTCTGGTTCAAGACATTTCTTTCCATGTATGATTGGTCAGTTTCAGCAGGAGCTCCACTGATATCGCTAGTATCTGTGAAACAGGGGTGTGACTTCTAACAATGTTACTTGTAACAATAAACAAACTTGTTTTTTTTCCATGAAACTTATTATGGAAATTTACATGCACAAACAGCTTTATCTTTTCACAGAGTTCTCTGTGTGAAATCAAGAAAATTTTAAAATGGCTATTTTTAGAAATATTGCAAATTAATCTTCCTTCTACTCAAATGGTATAAAATTAAAAATAACATAGATTCTGAAATTAGGCTAAAAGGAGTGAAACACTAACACTAAAATGGAACTACAAATAATAATGAAAAATAAAATGAGCCACACAATCTCTAATAATAAAAACTGCTATAGACCTTTATGTATCTATACAGGTCAACATTCATTAACTAAAATCTTCAGTTTCCCTTTTGTATCAGTATGCTGACATTAGATTGGGCCATTAACACTCTAATAAAAGAAATTGTAACAATATTGTAACAGAATCGTATCCTATTTATTTAAATACTAATTAGTCCGTGTTTAAGACTATCTTGCTGTCATGTACACACAGACAACCATATTAAACAAATCAGAAAAGATAAAAGCACACGCAAATTTCATATAGTTTATGATAAAAGTCAAAGTGCAATGAGTTAAAGTTCTAATTGTAACAGTGAAATAGATCCAAAAAAGATCGTAAATCAGTTTTCAATTTTGAAGACAGTTAAAGTGACACAATTATCAGAAAGTTTACAAATCATGTAAAATGTACACTGATAAACCCATTTTCCTAGGTCAACAAAATACCCGGCAACTTGCAAAGTTTTCTTAATCACCCTCCTTAGCGCCCCCCCTACTATAGCAAGACACGTATATTAAAAAAACATATAACACATAATACTAAGCAATTTTTATTCATAGGTTTAAATGGCTTCTTATTATAAGTAAAGAGAAAGATGTGAGTAAAGCGAGGTTACAGAACCCTCACTGCTGTTGACTCATAGTGACCTTATAGAACAGAGTAGAACTGCTCCATAGGGTTTCCAAGGCTGAGATCTTTGTGGAGGCAGACTACCACATCTTTCTTCTATGGAGCGGCTGGTGGGTTCAAACCACCGACCTTTGGATTAGTAATTGAGCACTTAACTACTCTGCCACCAGGGCTTCTTGGTTACAAAACAGTGCTGCAAAAACCTTAACAACATATACTTAGCATAATTCATAATATAATTCAATGGATTATAGTATGCCTTACCTTTTATGTATAAGATAGTCCTCCAGGATGTCAAGGCACCGTACCATCTGAGAGAAGATGAGCACTTTATGACCTCCTGCTTTCATTTTGGGAAGCAACTTATCGATAAGGACCAATTTACCAGCAGACTGGATCATTGCTTGAAGATGAAAATCAGAAGCAGCTGGATTATATGTATCTCTAAATTCTCCAAGTATTTTCTCCTCAGCACCTGTCGAAGATAACACCAATACACAAATGCAGGCAACTCCTGACTGCTTTCTGTTTTATCCAGATTAGTGTTTCTCTGTGCTTCTGTAACATAATTTTCTGATGATAATTACACTACTTTTATTAGAATTATTCACATTTGTGACTAAATCCCTACTAACACCAGACTGTAATTCCACTGAGGCTAGGAAAATGTTCTAAGCATCTTCTAATAACCTCAGACACCTGTCATAACGCTTTCCATAAATTTATGTTCACTAAATATTTAATGAATGCTATTAAGAATTAAAGGAACTGTAGTCCTAACCCAGGTAAGTAAACACATTTATTCCTAAACAAATACCTAATATTTAAACACTAATCATAACAGTGATCATCACTCAGAGGTAATCATTGTTAATCTGGATGTGTCTATGGGCATCCAGTTGGCCATTAAAACAAGGAAACAAGAAAAAACTAAAGGAGAAGTCATGTTACAGATCCTTGATACATTATTTCATCCAGAGTCTAGACCAGCATTAAAGGGGCTCTCTGCCCTTCCTCAGCCTGTCCAGCTATAAATGAGTACCAAAAATGCAAGAAGAGACTTCAATTACTGGGGTAAGAAACACACTATCTTAGATAAAGTAAGTAAATCAGGAGTCTATTCCTAGGAATAAGTGAAAAGATCCAAACATCGTACAGAGAGAAAACCGGCAGAGAACAGAGAAGAGCTTAAGAAGTAATATTAAGAATTACTAAAGCACAAAAATTAAGAGACAGTAACTGGGGGTACCTAATGGGAAAGCAAACGAGGGGAAGAAACAAATCCAGAGGTCCACAAGGAGGATTAGATCAGAGAAGGAATAACCAGTTCAAATTAAACTGAACACAAATTCTGCTATTGTAAACTACTATGCTGACAGGGGACACTGCAATAAGGCAGCTCTCACCGCCTGTGGCTTTGAAATACCTGTAATCCCTCAGAAATCCACTGTTGGAGTTACAGTATCACTAGTTTTCCTTGTAACAGCCACTACAGCTTCAGCAGTAGTTTGTTTACTCATTATTATTTGTTAAAATAAAAGAGGGTATTTGTTTGTAATTCTTTCTAGCTACCTTTAATAAGGTATGGATGATTACAGCACTTCCTGAGCTCCATCATAGTATTAACCAAGTTAGGTACATTAGTTTGTCCTGCTCCTTTGGATAAAAATGAAAAGTTCTTCTCCAAAATAGCCCGGTAGTATTTCTTTTGAATGTTTGTAAGTTCTACTTCAATGATGGTTTCTTCCTTAGGTGCCAACTTCTTCTCCACATCTTCTTTCAATCGTCTCAGCATCATTGGTTTTAGGATAGCCTGAAGTTTCTGTACCTGCATAAAAAATGAGAAGAAGATATTTAACATAGGTGCATACACAATTACACATAAACAAATTAATTACAACGATAAGATACTAAAAAAAGCAGTAGGATACCTGTTCTTCTGTTTTCAGATCCCCAAATTCTTGCATAAATGTTGATTCAGAGGGAAACCTTAAGGGTTCAAGAAAATGAAGAAGACTGAATAGTTCTTCAACTGTATTTTGGAGGGGCGTGCCAGTCAAAAGCACCTTGTGTTCCTATATAAAACAAGAATAATTCACATTAAACACCAAAGTAATAAAATTATATAAAAGCTGATTTAGGTTCTCAAATGTTTAGTGTTTGAAAAGGAAGTATTTTTCGGACCATAATTTTCAAGAATCAACTCAAAAAACACCTCTACCTCAAAAACAAACATACCAGTAACCAAAAAATAAAAAGAACAAAAAACCAAACCCGTTGCCATTGAGTCAATTCCAACTCATAGCGACCCCATAAGACAGAGTAGGACTGCCCCATAAGGTTTCCAAGGAGCGGCTGGTAGATTTGAACTGCCGATCTTTTGGTAAGCAGCCGAGCTCTTAACCATTGTGCCACCAGGACTCCGTAGCAGTAACAGAAGGAAAAAAAAACACAGGAAATTTTTAATAGTTGGTGCTACAAATTATTATAAATTAAAATTTGATTACAATACATATTTGTATACCTATATCTTCATATATATGTAAATGCTAATAAGTAATATAGAAAGATACACACCAAACTGTAAATATGGATAAGAGAAGTTGACTCGGGGGAAGGCAGATGGAGAGGGAGTAAAACAGGGAACTTCAAATTTTTACTGTATATAATTTTGCATGAGTTATTTGTTCAAGTGCTCATGTACTAATTATGTGGTTTCATTAAAAATCAAAATATAAAATAAAATCTTTATTTGAAAGCAGCAAACATACAAACAAGAAGATGATTTTTAAAAACCCTGTTTATAAATTATAACCAGTAAGTTACCAAAAAAACTAAACCCGTTGCCGTCAAGTTGATTCTGACTTACAGTGACCCAGTAAGATAGAGTAGAGCCTCACAGGGTTTCCAAGGAGCAGCTGGTAGATTCGAACTACCAACCTTTTGGGTAGCTCTTAAACACTGTGCCACCAGGGCTCCTAATATATGTTAGGCATGTAGAATTGTGTAGGTACTTTATCTATCATAAATCATCTGAATAATATTATAACCTTGACATATAAATGGCCTTTTAATTAAGGAATTTATGGCATAAAATTTATGGTCTTATTTTCTTTTCAACAGTAGAGAGGTTTCTCTCCTTTTTTTAAATTCTAGAAATTAATTACTAAAGCATTTTGGAGAAAAGCTAAAAAAAATTTTAAGACATAAAAAACAGATATGATTTTTCCTTAGTAAGTAAAGCAAGAAATCTGATATTATTATAGGTAGTATTCAGATATATTTATATTCTAAAATAAAAAGTAAGTTTTTAGCATGAGCTCTATGACTCTCTGACATTTTACTATATAGCTAAGAAAGTGAATTAAGTCATTAATAATGGCATTAAATTACCTACCAGATTCATGAGTTTCAGACCTTCCAGGAGTTTACAATTTTTATTTTTTAACCTATGTGCTTCATCAATAATCACACATCGCCATTCAATTGCATTAAGTTCTCCACAGCCTCCAAGAATCATTTCAAAAGTAGTGATGATGGCTTGGAATCTGTAAGCTCCTCGAATGATACGCCCCTAGAAATTTATTATCAGATACAATAATTTGTCAGAATGTCTTAGTTAATTGCATTTTAAAATTCATGTCAAATAGCATAAAAGTGCATCTAGTAACATCTGCTATAACACATTTTCCACTGACATTTTAACATATGCATAGATACTCCATTAAATGAGGAGTTTATAATTAAAGCTGTATTAGATTGCTCTGTTTTCAAGAACGTTGTTAAAAATGATGCCAACACACTTACATAATTTATAACTGTATCCCAACAAGCCTTCCCTGGTAAAGTGTTTTCTATAATTTTTGAGAGTTATGTTAACAATTTTAGGTGAAGAAAGAAATGATCATTACAAAATCTGCTGAGATTTCAACATGAATGTTTATTAACTACGTACATACATTCAGACATATAATGGTCAATAAGTAGCTAATAGCAAAATCAGCCATCCAAATAATTTGTTCAGCAATTATTTATTGAATGTCTATGTGCCAGACCTCGTTCTAGTTCCTGGAGATACAGCAATAAACAATAGGGACAAAAATAATTACCCAAGTGGAACTCACACCCCAATGATTCTAATGCAGGACACAGTCATTAAGAAAACAAACAAACAAACAACAATAGTAAATTAGAAGATGATAAGGGCTGTGGAATAAAATAAAACAAAGATGTAGAATAGGTAGTATAGGGACAGAGGTAATCACTGCAATTTTATATAGGATGGTTGGGAGGACATTACTGAGAAGTGACATTTGAGCAAAGACCTAAAGATGAGGGAGAAAGCCAAGTTGATATCTAGAGAAGAAGGCATTAGTGGTAGAAGGAGCAAGTGTGAAGGCCCCAAGGTGGGAGTATCTTTGGCAGCATTCAAAGAATAGCAAAGAAGCCAGAGTAGCTGAAACAGAATGAGTGAGGAAGAGATGAGGCAGATTGTGCAGGGACTTGAAATCTGTTGTAAACACTGGCTCTTACTCTGAACAAGAAGCTACTGTAGGATTTTGAGACAAGAACTGTCATGACCTGACATATGTTTTAAAAGAGTCACTGTGGTTGCTGTGGTGAAAACAGTGTGATGGAGGCCAAGGACAGGATTATGGAGATCAGTTAAGAAGCTGTCATTATAATCCAAGCAAGAGATCATCATTGGAGGCCATGAGAAGTGTCAGTTCTGGATATATTTTGAAGGTAGAGCCAACAGAGTTTGCTAATGGATAGGTGTGGAGTGACATAAAGAGAGGATTCAAGTTTGACTCTAGGATTTTTAGCCAGAGCAACTGGAAATTGGTGTTGTTATTTACAAAAACGATAAAGTTCAGGATTCTGTTTCTGGACATGTTAAATTTGAGATGTCTATTAGATATCCAAGTGAAGTTGTCAGGCGTTTAGATATGACTCTGTTTAGAAAAGAGGTTAGTTAGTGATATAAATTTGGCACTTCCCAGCAGTATAGATGGTATTTAAAGCTGTGAGACAAGACAAAATCTCTGAGAGAATGAGTATAAATAGAAAAGAGTCTGAAGGCTGAGTCCTGGGTCACACCAAAGGTTAGAGACAGGGAAAATGATCAGCAACCAGTAAGGGGGCTTGAGAAGAAACAGGTAGTGATGAAGGAGAGCATGAAGTTCTAGAATCCAAGTGAAGAAAAGTGTTTAAATGGGCTTGAAAATTAAGACTGCCAGGAGTAAGAGAAAGAAAAGGTTAAGAAAGATCATGTATCCTGATTTAGATTAATTCAGATTAGCTCAATTACTGTATGTTTATGAAAAAAAGTGCGCCTTCTACATGTGTTTGCCAACAGTGCCCACCACCCCATACCCTGCGAGGTATTTTCGTAAGCATGTTATGCTAATTTTTTTACAGTAACATGTAAAGAAAAACTGGCATAGCAGCACTTACGAAAATACCTCAGAAGGGCGGAGGGGGGGTTGCGGCTGGCAAACAAATGTAGAAAGAAGGTGCACTTTTTTGCCTAAACATACCTAGACTAATTTTAGATTGTGTACACTTGCCACTAAGTGGCTATTAGGTTGAAAAATAACTCTACTAGAATATCATTAAAATAAGTATAAATCTATGTTATTTATTCAGTTCTAAAAAAAACTGGGATATGATACATTCAGCTAAATTGATACCATAGTGTTTTTTAAGAAGAGGGCTCTTCATGGATTGACCTATGTTTATTAATCCCCGTTTTTCTCTGTGATTTTGGGGAGACTATGTAACTTCTTTATGCCTCAGTCTCTTTTTTAAAATTGAGAGAGTACTAGCTATTTTACAAAGTTAGTATTGTAAAAATTAAGTGAAATAATACACGTAAGCTGTTTATTATAATGTATGGCACATGGTAACTACTCAATAAATGTTTATGGTATTAGTGTTAGCATCTTGGTTATTCGTCCAGGGCAATTTACAACCTTTTGGCATAATTTTCCAACGACCATTGATGTCAAGCTATTTAACAACAAAAAAAGCATCAGTTACATATTCAAATGATTTATATTGAAATATATTTGAAAATGCTAACTCTAAAAGTTATTTCTATAAAGTACAGATCTATTTATCTCATTACATGACACATCTTTATCTTTTGAAATTTATAACCTCTTCAGATAATGTTCTTCTAGAATCTTTAATATTTACCATAAAGTATAATATTTAATAAATACTATTCAGTTTATCACATATCAAGAATCTTCCAGCTTTTTGCTATTATATTTATATTCAACTCATGAGACATATATTAAAATAAATTGACCTTGTTAACAATCTCTTAAATTCTCAAGATTTTAGTTGTGCTATTACAAAAATGAGAAAGCTGAATTAAATTATTTTTATGATACCATACAGCTCTAAAAGTCTACAAACATATGATCAAGAATAATAAAACATTATGAAGAAAACTGGACTATAACCTAAGATGTCATATACTCCAAAGGAACAAAGATGGCAGTATTTGGTAGACAGAGAATAATTAAAGATTATATACAGCCTTAATTTCATAAAAATCTAATTGTTTCAACCATGAAAGTAGGTAGTAAAAATGAGGTTGGAAGAACAAAATCAGTTAATTCATCCATTTACAGCTTCAAATAGGTAGAAAATCAGTTATAATTGAAAGGCAAAATTAAGGCTACATACATTACTTTATTTCTACTTTCATCGCATCACATGACCTGATTATATGTTAAAATGATCCTTATAGAACAGAAGAATTAGTGAAAGGAAAAATAAATATTATTGAGGTAGAGTGGCAAGTGATAAACCTTTTCTAATTAAAAAGTATAATTTTGTGGGAATTGTGTTTTTTACTGATTTTTTTTTTCCTTCTTAATAAAGATCCCACTTAAGACTGTAACTTGGCACTTCATGCTTTCTAGCGTTAACTTACAGCTGGAAAATTCTTTCTTATGCTGTCGTCTCTTAATTTTATGATCTTTGTATTCAGGAGAAAAATAGGAAATCCCTTGAAGAATAAGAGGCCAAAGTAAAAGAAAAAATGTACCTTTAGGACACAGGGAAAGAGGAAAATCATCGAATCACTATTTAGAGTACTGAAATAACCAATCCAAAGAGGAAAAAGAATTAAGGTATGTTTGCATCAGTATAAAAACAACACACCAAATGTCTAAAATCAAGATCCAAGGAACACAAAAGAGAACCTATGATGTCACCTCAATGGGCATTTAAACTTATGGCCTTCACTAAAGACATGAGTTAAATTTTAAAAAGAGAAGAAAAAAATGGAGGAAGATCAAAAGAGACAGATATTATTCTACAAATAAACTGAGTGTGTATTTAAACACCATTAGCACAATGACAACTTTGGTTTAAAAAATTTAAGGAATACAATTAAATTTGTACATTCGTATAAATCAGCACACATCTTTGGAGTTAACTAGAGTATGAAACTGATGTCTCTTGTCATTATTCTCTTAAGTTACTAAAATAATTGCAATATAAATATGATAAAGGGCTTATACTAAGATCCAAGAAGACAATTAAAATCTCTCCTAAATTTTAAAGTAGTTGCTATATAATGCTTGGTTTCTTTGAACTTGACCTTTCAAACTGGTTATAAGATGAAACAACAAACAAAATGATCAATAACACACCTGTGAGTCCCTGAAGTACATCTCATACTGCTGTATCATTTGTCTGCTAATCAGGCTCCCATGATAAACCACCACATTAATATCAGTCCATGTACGAAACTCTCTCTCCCAGTTTGCGATAGTAGAAAGTGGAGCGATAATCAGGAAAGGTCCTCGTATACCAGTCAGAAGGATTTCGTAGAGGAATGTAATTGACTGAATGGTTTTGCCAAGACCCATTTCATCTGCTAAAATGCAGTTTCGTCTGAAACAAACAAATATATTACCCATGCATACATTGGGTTCTTCTGTATACTACAATGTTTTTAAAGATCAATATACAAAAATAATCAAAGAGCAAACAAAAAATACTTGCATTTATAAAAACATAAAAGGTGCTGAAGTGCAGAGTAGGCTCAAGATTACAATTTCATTAAATCCTGCAAATGGGAAACTATAGATTTTTGTAGCTCCAAAATAAAGATACCAGTTATAAAATGTTTGCTTTTTTAAAAGAGTGAAAAGGCAAGAGCAAGGCAAGCTAAATGTATTATTCATTCAGGAAGCATTTATTAAATACCTTCTATGTCTCAGGGACAGTACGAGAAGATGGGATACAAAAGAAATAGAACATGTTCTCTGCCTTCCAGGGGCTCGTATCTATTAGAGAAGCAGACATGCAAATGAATAAATAAATAGTCACGTAATGTGCTATCACAGAAGCACAAATAAAGCACTGGTTTCCAAGCTTGGCTGTGCATTAGAGGAACCTGCAAAGCTTGAAAAAAAAATTCAGATACCAGGTCCCTCCCCTGTGATTCTGATTCATTTTGTATGAAGTAGGGTCAAAGCAGCCATACTGTTTTAAACAAGCTCCACTAGTGACTGTGATGTGTGGCCCGTTGAGAATCACCAGTATTAAGTTTACTACAGAAGCTCAGAGACGTTAAGTGCCAAAATTTGGCTAGAAGAGATAAGAGAAGGATTCAAAAAGGAGGTCAATAAAGTGTACGATTTTGCCAGAGGGCACAGCAAAGGAGCAGAAGTGTATAAAATACTATCATCTGGGGACCACAAGTTTAATATGTTTTTGAGGGAGGAGTGAAGGGAGGTGAGATTATTAAGATAAGCAGGGGTCATACATAAAGGAAGTGAGATAACATTCTATTATGCAATGGGGAGTCATTGAGTATTGTAAAGGAAACCTGATGAGACTGGACTTGTATTTCAAAGTTTACTCCTTCGCTATTAGAGGGTGAGTAAGTGGAACCTGGGACACTAATCAAGAAAACACTGTAATCACGCAGGGAAGAAAGGGTGGGGTCTGAACTAAGGGAGTGGGGATAAAAGGAGAGAACTGATTCAAGACCTAATGTTGAGTCAGAATGAATTGGACCTAGTGATCAATTAGATGTATGGGGTTTAGGATTAAAGCCAGATTTCCCATTTGAGTGACTAAGTGAATTGTGTTATTATTAACCAAGATGCACAATACGGAGCAAGAACAAATTTAATATGGAGGAAAGAGGAAATGATAGGTTAATTCTGGATCTGCTTTGTTTAAAAAACCATTGAATCAGACATCCAGGTAGCAAAAGGCAAATAAAAATATGGGCCTGGAACTCAAATCAATGCCTTAGTTAGAGATAAAAAGTGTGGACCATTAGATTATTATTGGTAAATGAAGGCATACAGGGGGTATGTGGAGGACGGACTGTTTACAGGGCTAAACAGAGAATTTTGGGCAAGAAGAAACAACATTTAAAGGACAAGCAGCAGAAGAGGACCCAGCAAAGACTACTGAAAGGAATGGACACAGAAATATGGGAGAGCTAAGAGAGAACCACATTAAGGAAGTTGGTAGGGGGGGAAGTTTAAACAAAGGAGTAATGCAGCAGAGAGAAACAACAAATAAGCACTGATAAATATCCTGTGAACTGAAAAATGAAGACTTTCAGAGAAGTGACAGTATCAAAATCCAGACTAGAATACTGAAAAGAGAATTAGAAGTGAGGAAATGGGGAGAGCTGGTGCAGACTACTGTTCCTAAAACTTTGGCCAGGAAGTTACAAAGAGAGCTCAAGCTAGAATGACAAGTGGAGCCAAGGGAAGGTTTATCTTTTTCCTTTTAGACAGGTTGAACTCAAACTTGTTCACAGACTGAAGGAATAACATTAGTCTTCAGGGACAGCTTTAAGATAGAAGAGAGAAGGATGATAACTGCCTGAAGTGAGGTTCTGAGGAGACTGAATAAAATGGCATACAAGAGTTGAGGGGGAAGTATTAGTCTTGGTCCTGAGGAAGGATCTTTTAATTGTGATACATAAGAATATGGTAAGAATGGCCATGGATGGAGGTATAATTTGTAAGACTGAGTATGAGGGCAGGCAAGAAGTGGAACAAGTTCACTTGCTGGGCCTGGGCTTCTCAATGAAGCAATCCTATACAGAGAGTGAAGGGGACAAGGTTGGGATAAAAGGCTTGAGGAAAATGATGAAAGTTTAAAACAGGCAATGAGGATATGGGAAAGGGCGCTAATGAGGGAGAAACAGTGGAAAAAAAGTTTTGTTAACTATTTTACCTGAATAGGTCTCTTATGAAAAATGATCAATACTTAGAAAATATAAATCAGGAAAAAGAGTACTTTCTACACATAATTTAAAAAAAAAACAAAAACCCAAACCCCTTGCCATTGAGTTGATACCGACTCACAGCAACCCTATAGGACAGAGTAGAACTGTCCCATACGGTTTCCAAGGAGAAGCGGGTGGATTCAAACTGCCCACCTTTTAGTTAGCAGTCGAGCTCTTAACCACTGCACCACCAGGGCTCCTCTACATATGATGGGTCATGCTAATTCCATCAGACTGAGTCCCATGACTCACCATTACTATGTTTAATGATCAGAAAAATCATGTGAGAAGTAAAAACACAGAAAAATGATTTCGAATAAAGATGTCATATCAAATTTTGCTTTTACTGCTAATAATAGTGCCTTCGTTAGCTCTTTTCTACACACTGCTATACTTTTTTCTCAATCGTTGTACTATGTTTTACTTCTGTTGCAATTGTCTTTTCATCTCAATAAGGAACATGATGTAATGTTCTATAAAGCATTTTCAACAACTGAGAAAAGAATAATTAACAAGAATGGGGTAATTCATTACTTATTGTTTTTAGATGCCATCGAGCCAACTGACTCATGGCAACTCTGTGTGTGCAGAGTAGAACTGCTCCACAGGGTTTTCAAAGCTGTGACCTTTTGGAAGCAGAAAGCAGAGAGGGTGGATTTGAACTGCCAAACTTTCATTTAGTAGTCGAGTGCTTAACTGTTTGCACCACTACCCAGGGAGTCCTAATTCATTACTAGCTTTCTATATTTTATATTCTATTTCTAATTAATTGCTTGCTGATATTCTACTTCTTTGAAGTCTTACATTAAAAAATAGTGATCTGTCTGATTCCCACAGGAATAAATAGCTGACAACTCACTAACTAGACCCAATTATCAGCAGACAAGTAGTATAAGTTAATAAGTATTTAGTGAAAAAATTCTGAAACATAGCAGACATTTTAGTACTCTAAAGGAGGTATTTCAAATTTAATTATTAACCACCATACCAACTTTCTTCTATTCTGACTGTTCACATTTAAAGGAAGCAACTGTAGTTAAAATCCTACATTGGAATTCACCTGTTTTCTTGCAGTAAACTCACTTTAAATAATGAAGACTCCACGGTAGTAACCGTATAGCAACAGCAGTACACATTTTACTTAACATATTTTAGCACATACAAAAAAGAGAATAACATACACTAAAATTTTTCTGTTAAGATATACTACTTACCTATTGTACCAATTGAACAAGAGCCAGTTGAGTCCTTCTAGTTGATACTCCCTGAGTTGGTTGCCATTTTTGTAGTCCCTGGATTGATCTATTTTTTTCCAAATATTAGAAGGGGGACGGTCCTTTGTGGAAAAACAAAAAACGAATGATGAATATTAGATTTTTTTCCTCATACATTTCAAATCTCCAATATATCCTATTCATGGTAAAAAGTATTGCTTTTAAAATAACCCTAAAAGTATAATATTATATGATGTTATAATAAATTCTACCAAATATTTAAAAACCAAATTAACTCTATACAAACTCTTCCAGAAAACTGAAGATGAAGGAATACTTCCCAACTCATTCTATGAGGCCAATATTGCCCTGATACCAAAATTAGACAAAGACATTACAAGAAAAGAAAACTACAGATCAATATTCCTCATGACTATACATGCAAAAATTCTTAACAAAATTGTAGCATGCAATATATTATATAGAAAGGTTAATACATCATGACCAAATGGGATCCTCCTCAAGCATGGAAGATTGGTTTAAATTTGAAAATTAATCAATGTTTTATCAATAGACTAAAAAAGAAAAATATGATAATCTCAATAGATGCAGAAAATACAATATCCACTCCTGATAAAAACGCTCATCAAACTATGAATAGAAGGAAACTTAACCTGATAAAAATGCATCCACAAAAAACCCACAGCTAATATCATACATACTTAATGGTGAAAGCCTGAATGCTTTCTCCCTAAGTTCAGGAAAAAGGTAAGAATGTCCACTGTCACTACTTCTATTCAACATTGTATTGGAGATTCTAGTCTGTGCAATCAAGCAATAAAAAGAAATAAATGTCATCAAAACTGGGAAGGAAGAAGTAAAACTGTCTTTATTCACAGAAGGTCTGAGTTTCTATGTAGAAAATCCTATGTAATCTACAAAAAAGCTACTGAAATTAGTAAGTGATTTTATCAAGTTTGTGATAAATACACAAAAGTCAACTGCAAACTATATTCTAGTCACAATCATTTAAAACAATATCATTTTATAATAGCATACAACATATGAAATATTTAGGAATAAATCTTATAAAAGATGTGCATGACCTATACATTTAAAACTACGAAACCCTGTTGAAAGAAATTAAAGACAACCTAAATAAACAGAGAGATTTGCCATGTTCACAGACTGAAAGACTCAACATTGTTAAGAAATTCTTTCCAAATTAAACAGATTTAACACAATCCCAAAAAAGATCCCACCAAGGTTTTTGTGGAAATTGATAAGTTGATTCTAAATTCATATGAAAATGCAAAGTACGTAGAATAGACAAAACAACTGGGGAGGAAAAGAAAGTTGGACAACTTAACACTGACTGATTTAAAGACTTGTTATAAAAGTCACAGTAATCAAGACTGTAGAATTGATATAAAGATAGAAGAAAAGATCAGTGGAACAGAACAGAGGTTCTGAAACAGACTCCAATGTATACGGTCAATTTATTTTTGACAAAGTTGCAAAGTCAATTCAGTGAACAAAAAATAGTTTTTTCAACCAATGGTGTGGGAACAACTGGATATTCATGTGCAAAATACGAACTTTAACACATACACTACACTACATACAAAAATAAACAAAAATAAATCACAGATGTAAATGTAACCTAAAATTTCTAAAAGACAAAGGAGAAAAACTCTGTTATCTCCAGTGATGCAAAGATTTCTTAGATACAATATGAAAAGCGTAATTCAGAAAAATAGACGGATAAACTGGAATTTGTCAAAATTTGCAACTTTTGTTCTTCAAAAACATTGTTAAGATAATGAAATGACAAGCCACAGACTGGGAAAAAATATTTGCAAATCACATACCATATTTTTACACAAATAACATGCTTCTTCTACATCTGTTTGCCAACTGCACCCTTCCCCCTGCAAGGTATTTTTGTTTAAGCTGCTATGGCAAATTTTTTTTTTACATGTTGCTATAACCTTGTGGGGGGAAGGGTGCAGTTGGCAAACAAATGTAAGTGTGCATTATTTGCATAAAAATATGTACCTGATAACAGACTTTTATCCAGAATATGTAAATAATCCTCTTAATTATAAAAAGAAACAAGCCAATAAAAAACGGGTAACATATCTGAACACATTATCAAAGAAGACATATTAATGGCAAAAAAAATATATGAAAAGATGCTCAACATCATTAATCATTAGGAAAATGCAAATTAAAACCACAGTGAGGTACCACTACACACCTATCAGAATAGCTGAGATAAAAAAGACTGACCATACCAAGTGATGACAAGGACTTGAAGCAACTAGAACTCCCATACACTGCTGGTGAGAATGTAAAACAGTATGATCATTTAGAAGCAGTATAATAATTTTTAAAAAGTTAAACATACACTGACAACATGACCCAGCCATTTTATTCCTAGCCATTTACCCAAGAAAAATAAATACACATGTTTATACAAAGACTTGTATACTAATGTTCATAGCACTTTTATTTTTAATAGTCAAAAACTAGAAACAACAGAAGTATTTATTAATAGGTGAACAGATAAACAAACTGTGGAATACTACATTACAATAGCTACTAAACAAAAAACCCACTGCCGTCGAGTTGATTCTCACTCATAGCAACCCTAATATAAAGGAATAAACTATTATTGATACATACAACATTGATGAATCTCAACATAATTGTGCTGCATGACAGAAGTCATACAGCAAAAAATACATACTGTCTGATTATATTTATACAAAACCCTAGAAAATGAAAACAACTGGATAGTGACATAAAGAAGATTAGTAGTTGCCTGGCGATGGAGTGTGAGTGGGTGGGAGGATCATGTGGGAGGCTATGATTACAAAAAGGTGTAAGAAAACTTTGGGGAGTGATGAATGTGTTCATTATCTTAATGGTGGTAATGTTTTCATATGTCAAGTTATCAAATTGTACACTTCAAATATGTATAGTTTATGTCACTTCAACCTCAGTAAAGCTATTTTTAAAAAGAATGATGTATATCACATTTTTTCTAATTTAAACCTACCATACATCTCCATAACACTTTTGATATTCATAGTATAAAGCATTTCTTTTTGTTTGTTTGTTTAGAACTCTTTATTAGTCAAATCTGATTGTTTTAGGCAGGAACTGGGCAGATAAATGGCAATAAGGAATAAAAAAAACTGATACAAAGCACTTCTTTTAGAAGAAACCTGGAAGCACACAAACATAATACTATATATATAAACATTCATTTATATAGAGAATTATGTTCACTTAAGTGTAATTTTTCTTCCTCAGCAATAAAAAATTTTGGACAGCTAGGACATAAATTTTCTGGAGATTGCTGGGTAGGTAGAGAAATAACATTAACCTAGACCCAAATAAGTAGGGAGTAGGGTCTAGATCTTAGTGAGACAAAATGTTTCAGAGAAATAAGCAAAAGGTTACCTATTGTCTTCTGTTTTAAAATTACATCATATTGAGTCAGAATTGACTCAACGGCAATGGGTTTGGTTTTTTTTTTTTTTTTTTTTGGTTCCTACTCAATAAAATTACACTTCTAAAAATTATCGAGATGATCAGAGTAAATGTAGGTAAATAAAAAACAGAACAGGCTATCAGTTATACATAATGAAAACAGAACTGGTTATTCACCTTCAGCTGCTACTTAATACAATTAGGATTTACTACAGAAAACATTTTTTAAACAGTAGCCAATGAACTTGAAAATAACATAATATTTCTCAAATTACTGCTTAAAATACATTCCACATTAAATCATATTCAGAGTGTTTTTTTCCCAGCAATCCAGTCACTATTAGTATCAGTTCTTGAACATATGCTACCTCCTGAAATGGTTGAATATAGTGAAATTTCGTTTCAAAAACTCTAAAAATATTCTACATGCTTTACATGCTATGTTATTTAACAATGATAGAGTAGCATTTTTTGTCACATCAATTTTATATTAATTAAGGAGTTTAATTCCATTGGCTGAATCCCTATTAACAAGGATTACACCACATATAGAAGGCAGTGGTTTTCCCTGGCATGGGCATCCAAATCACACATGTCTGGGTTCTACTCTCAGAGACTCTGATTCTTCAGTCATCTCTTAATTTTTAAAAGATCCAAAACTGATTCTGATGTGAGTCTCTGGTTGAAAACCACTGTGTAAAGAAATGGCTTACTTGATGAGGCTAAAGATTAGGTTATCATTAAGACATAGTCCCCACTCCAAAAATAAAATCTTTTCCCTTCTACAACATCCCTTGACTCACTCCTCTCTGAACTGGCTGTGGCTTCTGTTTCCTGGTACAAGAAAAGGCATTTGGAAATTAAAAAGGAATTGAGATGAGCTGTTGTGCAAAAGCCTTGGTAACAGCCTATGGGCATCACTGGCAGAAAAAGTAAGCAGACCAGAAAACAGTAATTATTATAAACATAATATGATCTCTTCCATGGAACATTTAATTCATTTCCTTCTCTTATTTCACTACTCCACGTTTCTCGTGGCAGCCTTCCTCACTCTGGTGCTACTCCAAAAGTGAGCTGCTCCTATCTTTTCAAATATAAACTTCCTCTTTAGTGAAGAAATTTCAATGACCAAATTATATTTGAAAGAAGAACAGGTCAAAATTTTTTGATAAAATCATAGTATGTCTCCTCAATGTGAATTTCTTTTGGTTGGCTGACACTAATGAATTCACATAGCAACAATCTTATGTTTTAGAAAAAATGAAAGTAAAAACTTTAAAAATTAGCAATATCACAACTTGCCATAGCCTTCTAGACTTCTATAGTTTCTGTAGTAGCAAAACAAAAAAACCCACTCAAGTTTCTTTTGTAGGGAAGGAGGTGAGATATGCATGTAGTCAATAAAAAAAATGAGTATACCTAATTTAACAACATTCTGTATAAAAGGTTCTTCTAAAAACAAAGCTACTATGTAAGTAGACGCATAATCCATACTGAAGGCTGTAGTCTTTGAACATCATCAGTAAGTGCTTCAAGTCCTCTTCACTTTCAGGAAGCAAGGCTGTGTCATTTGAATAAAGAAAGTTGTTAATGAGTCTTCCTCCAATCCTGATGCCCTGTTCTTTTTCACATAGTCCAGCTTCTTGGATTATTTGCTCAGCATACAGATTGAATAAGTATGGTGAGAGGATACAACTCCGACACACACCTTTCCCGATTTTAAACCATGCAGTATCCCTTTGCTCTGCTTGAACGAATGTCTCTTGGTCTATGTACCGTTTCCATATGAGTACAATAAGTGTTCTAGAATTCCCATTCTTTGCAAAGTTATCTATAATTTGTTACGATCCACGGTTGAATTCCTTTGCACAGTTAATAAAACACAGGTAAACATCTTTCTGGCGTTCACTGCTTTCAGCCAAGATCCATCTGACATCAGCAATGATATCCTTCATTCCATGTCCTCTTCTGAATCCGGCTTGAATTTTGGCAGTTCCTTGTCGATGTACTACTACAACTGGTTTTTAATTATCTTCAGCAAAATTTTACTTGCATGTGATATTAATGACATTGCTCGATAATTTCTGCATTTCACTGAATCTTTCTTTGGAATGGGCACACATATGGATAGCTGTTTTCCAAGTTTTCCAAATTTCTTGGCATAGATGAGTGGGCGCTTCCAGCGTTGCATCTGTTTGATGAAACACCTCAGTTGGTATTCTTTCCATTCCTGGAGCCTTGTTTTTTCGTCAATGCCTTCAGTGTAGCTTGGACTTCCTTCCTTCAATACCATCAGTTGTTGAACATATGCTACCTCCTGAAATGGTTGAACATGGGCAATTTCTTTTTCGTACAGTGACTCAGTATATTCCTTTCATCTTCTTTTGATGCTCCCTGCTTCGTTCACTATTTTCCCTGTAGAATCCTTCAATGTTGCTCAAGGCTTGAATTTTTTCTTCAGTTTCTTCAGCTTGAGAAATGCCAGGCGTGTTCTTCCCTTCTGGTTTTCAGGTCTTTTATTTCATCGTTTCTTCCGTTCGCTTTAGCTCTCTATGTTCAAGAGCAAGTTTCAGAGTCTTCTCTTCTGATACCCATTTTAGTCTTTTCTTTCTTCATGTATGATGTCCTTGATGTCATCCCACAACTTGTCTGGTCTTCAGTCATTAGTGTTCAATGCAGTAAATCTATTCTTGAGATGGTCTTTAAATTCAAGTGGGATATACTCAATGTCATACTTTGGCTCTCACGAACTTGTTTTAATTTTCTTCAGCTTCAACTTGAACTTACATACAAGTAATTGATGATCTGTTTTGCAATCAGCCCCTGGCCTTGTTCTGACAGATGATATTGAGCTTCTCCATCATCTCTTTCCACAGAGGTAGTTGATTTGATTTTCGTGTATTCCATACGGCAAGGTCCACATGTACAGTTGCCATTTATGTTGTTGAAAGTTATTTGCAATGAATAAATCGTTGGTCTGCAAAATTATATCATGTGATCTCCAGCATTGTTTCTATCACCAAGGCCATATCTTGCAACTACTGACCCTTCTTTGTTCCCAACCTTTGCATTCCAATCATTAGCAGTTATCAATGCATCTTGATTGCATGTTTAAACAATTTCAGACTACAGAAGTTGGTTAAAGTCTTCAATTTCTTCATCTTTGGTATCGGTTTGTGCGTAAATTTGAATAACAGTCATATTAACTGATCTTCCTTGTAGGTGTATGAATATTGTCCTGTGTACTTTCAGCGCTGTACTTTATGATAGATCTTGAGATATTGTTTTTGAGAATGAATGTGACGCCGTTCTTCTTTAATTAGTCGTTACCAGCACAGTATACCATATGATTGTCCAATTCAAAATGGCCAACAGCAGTCCATTTAAGGTCACTAATGCCTAGGATATCAATCTTCAAGCGTTGCACTTCATTTTTGACAACTTCCAATTTTTCTTGATTCATATTTCGTACATTCCACGTTGTGGCTACTAACTGATGTTTGCAGCTATTTCATTTTGAGTAGTGCCCCGTCAGCAAATGAAGGTCCCGAAAGCTTTACTCCATTCACATCATTAAGGTCGACTCTACTTTGAGGAGGCAGCTCTTCCTCAGTCATATTTTGAGTGTCTTCCAACTGACAGGCTCAACTTCTGGCATTATATTAGACAATGTTCCGCTGATATCCATAAGGTTTTCACTGGTCAGTTTTTTTCAGAAAGAGATCGCAAATTCCTTCTTCCTAGTCTGTCTTAGTCTAGAAACTTTGCTGAAACCTGTCCACCAATAAGCAACATCATGATAAACGAAGAAAATATTGAAGTTGTCAAGGATTTCAGTTTACTTAGGTCCACAATCAATGCCCATGGAAGCAGGAGTCAAGATATCAAACAACAAATTGCACTGGGCAAATCAGCTGCAAAAGAACTCTTTCAAGTGTTAAAAAGCAAAGATGTCATTTTGAGGACTAAGGTGCGCCTGACCCAAGCCATGGTATTTTCAATCACCTGAATACGCATGCAAAATCTGTACAATGAATAAGGAATTATGGTGTTGGTGAAGAATATTGAATATACCATGGATTGCCAGAAGAATGAATAAATCTGTCTTAGAAAAAGTGCAGCCAGACTGCTCCTTAGAAGCAAGGCTGGTGAGACTTTGGACATGCTATAAGGAGGAAACAGACCCTGGAGAAGGATATTATGCTTTGCAAAGTAGAGGGTCAGCGAAAATGAGGAAGATCCTCAACAAGATAGACTGACCGTGGTTGCAACAATGGGCTAAAACATAAGAATGGTGAGGATGGTGCAGGACTGGGCAGTGTTTCATCCCGTTGTACGTAGCATCACTAAGAGTTGGAATCAACTCAACGGCACCTAACGACAACTACTACAATGAAAGCAGATGAACTATATAGTTATGGAGAAATAAACAGATGGCAGAAAAGAGGGGAAAGTGGAAATATATGGAATATTCTTTGAACAGAAAATTGATAACTGTAGATTATGGCCTGAACTGATATCACTGATATTTATATAAATGACCTGAGAGAAGAGTAGCGGGAAACTTTAAAATTCAGAGATCACATAGAAATGTTAACTGGAGTAACTTCTGGAGGGATATTGGGAAGTTAATACTTACAGTAATTTTAAATGCATATACCCGCTGACCAAGCAATTACATTTCAAATTTATCTGACAGAAACTTACACCAGGGCTTGTGAATGCTCAATACAGCACTGTTTATAATAGCAAAAAAATGAAATATTCACTAATGGAGGAACAGTTAACATACATATGATACTATGTACTAATTAAAACGAATAAAGTATTAATTGTATCGCAAGAACTAAATCAAGTTTCAAAACTGACATTAAACCTGCTAAATAAAGAAATACTAAGATTTTATTCAGCTGTCTACGACATACTCTTACCAAGCGTCTTGTGTCAGGCCTTGAAGCTTGCAATTGTTCAAACTCTTCTATTTTTGCAAGATCTACATCTTCTTTTAGTTCCCAGGTACTATCTTCATATGGCAATGAGCACCACTTTACTAAGTAGTAAATAACGGGCTGTAAAAAAAAAATTTTTTCATTTTGCCCTTGTGAAATAGAGAGTAAGAAATAGCTTAAATAGGGACTAGTTAGAAATAGTTTAAATATCTAAACTATGTCAACAAAAAACAATGAAACATTTCTTATGGTTTTTAGGTCATTAGCTTTTAAAAAGTACTGTTTTACTGTTTAGACAGTTTTAGGTTTTTCTTCCTTAAAAAGATGTGTTTCTGAAATATTTACCTCACCAGTATCCTTATCTTCACAAAATGAAACTTCCAGTACTCTGTCTACTTCAACATAGTCTGGGTTAAATGGTTCTTCTTCCATCTAAAATTAAAAAGTAACTTAACTGATATGTGAGAAACAAGTGTAAAGATCAAAATGAAATAAAGACAAAATTACTAGCTATCCACCTATACAGAAACACATGAGTTTGATTTCAATTAAATGTGCAATTTATAGAATTCTTTTAATTTTCGAAGAATATCTGGGATACTTGCATATATTATGAATCATCATGTTAAATGAACCAAATAACACTAAGAAATAAGGTACTCCAGAGAAGTAAACTGCTGTAAAAGCTACATTCTTTAAAAATGTCCTTGAAACAAAAAAAGGGCAATGAACTATCTTAGTATCCACTTTTTACTAATTTTACAGGTTATTTTCCAGATCCCATTTCCTCATCCATAAAGTGGGGCTAGTTATTCATGCATCTCAGAATCATTTTAACAATTCATATGTTAACAAGAAAAAAAAAGTCCTAAAATCAGCCTCTGTACCTTTCCTTTGTTACTTTCCTCAGGTTTCCCTTCTCTCCTTGACGACCAATCACCCCACCTCCTATCACCTGCAGGTTTATTTCTTAGTGCTATCGAACACTCTCATCTACTGATGGTTCCTGTGTGAAGACTCATTTATCTAGATGAATGCAAACATCTCTACTTGAGCTACCTCAAACATAACTGCACTCATTAACTCTTCAACCTACGCCTCCTTCTGTATTTCCTGCATTAATATCAAACAGCCATTGTTAAGCCCCACTCCCAGCTGTACAAGCCAGGAATGGAGACATAATCTTAGGCTCCTATTTCTTTACCTCCCACATCAACTCAGTCACCAATTTCTACAGATTCTGCTTTTAACTCACATTGATTTCTCTTTCTTCATTCTCACTGCCTCATCATTTCTTACTTGGACCTTTACAAATAAACCCCCCAATTAGTCCCAACTCACGTCCTGCCTCCCTCTAATTTGTTTTTCACAGTGTCCCCAGAGTAATCATTCTCAGATGTCAATCTCACCAAGGTGCTCCCTTGCTTAAAATCCTTCACTTCCCATCTGGTATCAGGTCCACATTTGGGCCCCCCTCCCTTTTATTGTGCTTTAGGTGAAAGTTTACAGAGCAAATTAGTTTATCATTCAACAATTTATACATAAATTGTTTTGTGACACCACATTGGTTTTTAGGGAATAAACAGATTCCTGCTTTTTCCTCTAGCCTCATCTCTTATTCATACTTCGGAAGTATAAAACTAAAAGTTTTTTAAACACCATTAAAAAATAAAAAGCCTCTATGCTTTGAACACATTCTTCTTTCTTCTCACTAGACTGTCATTCTTCCTCTGGTCTACTTGGTAATTCCTACTTATCCTGGAAAGCCTTACTTTCAACAGCTCATATCAGCTTCTTTTGCTGCTCCTCCCCCTTTGCCTAACTTCTAATACTCCACAGCTCTACCTTTAGTTATCTTTACTGTCTTAAATATCTCCTAAGTGATATTAGCATCCTCATGTTTTTCTACAGGATACATTACCTAATACAGGAACGACTAACGTGGCACTTCAGGAAAATCTGCATCACTCCTATTTATATTGTGTCTGGTATTATTAGTTAAGTACTTCTAAAATCTTAAGCTCATTAGGAACTTCTGTATATCAGAGTGTGGAGGTAAGATATTTTTGAGGAGGTGGAAGAACATTCCAGCATCTATAAACTGATAGGTCATTAGAATCATCAAAATTTTGATGAATTTAGTAATTACAAGGAAATAACAGAAACTTCATGGTGGAGAAATCTAGCAGTGACCACCTTAATCTCATGATCAAAGTTACCACCATCAATCATGGGGTAAATAGGTTTTATTGCTTCTTGATATGATTCACTGAGAGACAGCTTCATTTCTGGGATGTTGTTTTTAAAAATGCATAACCTGAATCTAATCATGAGGAAATACCAGACAATTCCAAACTGAGGGACAATCTACAAAAGAAACAACTGCACTCTTAATAAAATGTCCAGGTTATGAAAGACAAAGGAAGAATGAACAACTTTCTAGATTAAAAGAGACATGATAACTACATGTAACATGTGGTCCTGGGTTGGATTCTGGACAAGAACATACACAACACACACACACACACACACACAATCTTTTGCTATAGAAGACACTGGTGGAACTTTCAGTGAAATGTGAATAAGGTCTCTAGATTAGATAACAGTACTATGTAAATGTTAATTCTATCATCAGGTAAAAGAATGTTTTTGTTTTTAGGAAATAAACACTAAAGTATTTGCAATACTTTCAAACGGTTCAGAAAAAAATATGTGTGTGGGGGAGAGACAATGTCAGAGACAGAACTGAGAGAAAATGAATAAAAAGGATAAAATCATGTAAAATGTTAACAGTTGGGGAATCTGGGTGAAGTATACCGGAATTCTTTATATTACTTCTGCAACTGCTCTGTTCAAAAATAAAATGTTTAAAATTTTTTCAAAATAAAAAGTTTAAAAATAATTCAGAGCTAAAAAGGACATCAAAAATTTAGCGATGCCTAGAGAGATGCATAAATTTTTCCAACGCAGTTCTGTTCACATGCATACACACAAATCCACACAAGACTGGTAAATATTTCATGTATGGAAAAATCTTGTTTTCTACTTATTTGCTACATTATCACTCTTCTTAAATAACTTTCATGATAAATGCTCTGTGATATTAACAGACTCACATTCAAATGTAAGTATTCAAATGCATGGTAACTTAAAAGTACAAGAGTTATCCACTATTTTGAATTTTCAGTATTCCTGTTTCAGGTATTGTTTCCAAGCAGAATTAGGAGAGAGAAAAAATAGTCTATGTATATATGTAGTATGAATATATTTGTATTCAAAAATATATAATTTGGGAGCCTAAGAATATGAATAATACTTAAATTTTTGATAAGTAATACAGTCTAACACATAATAGTCTCATTTATTATTTTTTTTCTTACGTCTGAGAAAAAATGTGCTCTTTGTGCTTGTCTCAATTTAAATCGTTTGATTTTCTGCTGGATCCTTTTATCTTTCAAAAGCTGCTCTTCTGTAGCCCATTCACAGTGAAGATAGGAGCTAGAAATTTTATAAAAATGATGTATTAGAATGATACAGAAGACCATGCTGTGATTTTTGAGATTTAATTTAATCACAACATCCAATATAAAATATTATCTTCAACTTTACAAACAGGTAGTCATCATCATGTTGTTTAACAGACTCCCAGATAATTTTTAAAACATAATCATTATAATCAATATATCCTGAAGAGACTACAGTATAAAGGTCTGCAATTTGCCATGTAGAAACAGAATAGTAAACTGAGTCATAAGGGTAACAGCAAGCTGAGATCTATCATTTCTTACTTTAAGAGTTTTGTTGTGATCAGAAAACTTGCTTTGAAACTGATGTAATTTCATTTCAAATACTTTAACTGAAATATACTGAGAAAAGTTGGAAAACACAAAAAACGAGTAAACAATTTTTCCACAATTAGGAACACTTATGAGTTAATTCACCTATGTCAAAGATTAAAATTTTAGTCAAATCATCACATGATATAATAACCCAAAGATCAAAAATTTTTTTTTATAAAAACAATAGAATTTGAAAAGCTCAACAATACAAATAATGTCTATAATTTGTAAAAGGAGATTTTATGAAAAAATCACTGCATTTTGAGGTTAATAATTAACGCTTTGTGAAATAAAAAGCATTCAATTTTGACACGAAAAGTTTTCAAACAAAGCTTTTACACTTTTTTAATTTTTAAACTCATGCAATAATAAATAAGAGTTATCATTTTACATTATACAGACAAGCGGAAGATCATAATTAATTTTAAGTTAATAGGGGTACTTTATATTTAAAGGAGCTCTGGTGGCACAGTGGTTAAAGCACTTGGCTGCTAACTGAAAGGTCAGCAGTTTGAACCTACCAGCTGCTCCGTGGGAGAAAGATGTGGCAATCTGCTTCTGTAAAGATTTACAGCCTTGGAAACCCTATGGGGCAGTTCTGCTCTGTCCTGCAGGATTGCTATGAGTCAGAATCAAGTTGATGGCAGTGGGTTTGGGTTTTTTATATTTATATCAACATCTTTCTATTATTTGTTTTCTAACTTATATACTTACTAATTCTTGTATTTTACAAAAAATTCTTCTGTATCAATCATCACTCCAGGGGATATCTAAGAAAATAAAATCAATAATTATGACTCTTTAAACAAGGCCATGGAATATAAATGTAACATGTAATGTGACATTACTTACTTCCTTTTTCACAATTCTAGAAGACAATATTTTGTCCACAATTGCAGCATCTTCTTCACTGGGGTTCTCCTATGGGAAGAAGGGGGAAAAGCCCATGATGGAACACATTCTGAAAACTTCTTTGTCACGTACATTTATGAATATACTAAAATTCAATAACATTTATTTTGTGCACGTGCAAGGCACTCTGTTAAAGAATAGGAATACAAATATGGAAAAAGACATCACTGCCGTTATTGTCCTCATCATCATTTGTATTATCATAGCAAATACTCTGTGCTTTTTTTATGTGTCAGGCATTATTCAAGTGCTTTACAAATATTAACTAATTTAATCCTTGTAGCAACACTATGAGGTAGATATTATTATCATCTCCATTGTGTACCGATGAGAAAACTCAGACTAGAGAAGTACTTGTCCAAGGTCTTGCTATTAAGTAGCAGATGAGTGGCTAGCTCACAATGCAATTAAGGCAGATTAAGAGAATTTTACGAAGAGGAAAATGCATATGCATAGGCAAGGAAGTGGCAAAATATGGCATTCAGGCTTCTATGTTCGTAAAGTTAGAGAACTGAGTGCTTGTAGAGAAGTGGCAGAAGACGAGGCCAGAAAAGATAGGTAAATAATGGCTTTATAAATTGTGCTAAGGTAGCACTATTTTCTTAAGACTTAGAAAATTATTAGGAGTTTTCAGCACAGCAACTTGATCAGACCTATAATTTAGAAATGTTCTGCAGAAAGGATAGAGATGTTGGAAGAGTTCCAAGAATATTTATTTATGAGGTAGAAAATGTGATGACAAATTAGATGAAGACGTAAAGGAAAAAGAAGAGAGAATGAATCCCTACCTAGGTTTCTGACTTCGATGACTAATGGTTCTATTACCTATAATATGGAATTCAGGTTTCAGGAAGAAAGACAACGTAAGAATTTTCAAGAATTTATGATAGCTTAAATGTTTTATATTCACAATCCCAAACATATCTTACCACAAATAATTGTAAGGGCTGTTCACCAGGTAAAGGAGCTGAATTCTTTTTTATTTTCATAGAACCTTTAACTGCTTCTTCACATTGTTTCCCTTCTGCTTCTTCTACATATTTTTTTCTTTTAATTTGTCGATTTGATCTTCTTTTCTGTAATGAACCATAAGGATCAGATTTATATAATTCATTTTAAAGGAAAGATTTTAAAAACAATTACCCCTAAAGTTGGCAATTTTGGACATCAAACTTTGAAAATTATATTCAACATTCATCTTTTATTTTTCTTTTAACGATCAGAAGATTATAATTTGTCCTTTGCCAAAACAGGCTTACAATCTTTCTAGAACTTTACTTCCTAAAATTTTAAACAACAAAGGTTAGTAATGCTTTTATTACTTTCCTTTAGAAATTGTTAAGAGTAAAAAGGTCTGTGTTATATTGAACTATTGTACAGTTTGAGCAAAGTATTTATTAGTATTATCTTTATTGCTCTATTACATTTCCTTAGAAAATACTGTTAAGAAGAGTAAAATGGTATCTATTTAACTGTTTCATACCTTGGACGACATATATTTTAAATTGTTAATATTTTCACAGTTTTTGTCTAAAACCCAGAAAAACATTAGATGAATACTGGTTAAATAATTAATTGGGAGCATAAACCTAGAAGAATAAATTAAACAGTACTTGTCATGAAATTGTATTTAAAACAAAATAAAATGATACAAAATGTTTTAAAAGAGATACAAATTAAATCAACAAATAATTAAACTTGAATGAAGGAGGAAAGTGTTTTGCTAATCTTACTAGCTTTCCTTAAAAATAATGAACACTACCATCATAAAAACAGAAGTAAATCTTCTAACAATCATTACATGTAGTAACATTTAAAAATAAGTAATTTTAAGTCAAGTATCAAATACACATGGCTTTACTTACCTCCCTAATTTTTTTTTTTAATAGAAATTTTGTATTTCAAGAAGAATTAAAAAAAAAAATAAAAAGTAGTTATCTTCGATGTTCCCACCAAAACCCCCAAAATCTCAGGGTGACTTGATAGTTCCAAAGGACTCAGATTTGCCTTTTTTCTCTCCCTCAAATCTCTTGGGTGGAGGCATCACAGCCACCTACTCTCAACATTTGGTGACTATTTTCAATATTTGGTAAATCTATCCCTTCTTCCTTTTTTTCCCATTGTCTTCTGTATGTTTAGTATTCTCCCTATCGCCCCAAAATATGGAATCAGCAAAATAACCTCACTGCACTCCTTTTGGTTTCTGCCAATGATTTCTACATAGGAGGTCTTTCGTTTACTTCTACAGCCATGACAAAAGAGGTTGAGTGATTGCAGCAGTGTGGGGACAAACTGTTATTTGCAACTAGTCAGGTTTCTATGGCCTTTAACACCATGCTTCTGCTCCTTTCTCTTAGAAGTGGGACACTGAGAGAAGGAAAGGCACTAACATGGTTCAGCCAAACGCAGTAGATGACTCCATGCCTCACTTAGGATGCTCATTCACAGGGTCACCATCTCTTGGCCGTGACAACAAACATTCATATTTTCAAAACTCAAGGTAACGCTATTGTTAATATAGGAGACAGGAAGGTAGTAGTATAAAAATTATAATAAAAGAATTCTTAGAAATCCAATTTTCCCACATCCTATTTTGAGAATAGATACGAAATATTTATTGTTCTGGTGGGGGGATCCTACGAATCTCTAAATTAACACTAGGCTAAAAGAATGTTTAGAATTGTATCATGAGCATCATACAGATCTAATGTTCAAGAATACTTTAAATAAATAACCAATTTATTATTCTACCAATAACATGTATTGTCAATATAGTGTCTCACTAAGCAGAAGCCTTCTGAATGATAAAAACAAAACAAAACAAACCCAAATCTGTTGCCCTCCAGTTGATTCTGACTCATAGTGACCCTACAGGACACAGAAGAACTGCCCTGAAGGGTTTTCAAGGAGCGGCTGATGGATTCGAATTGCCGACCTTTTGGCTAGGAGCCGAGTTCTTAACCACTGTGCAACCAAAGTTGATGTTTCGGAATAATCCAGTACATTTTTAGAAGATACCGTTAGATGTTTTCAGCATTACAGATTATGGTTTTTTGGGCATCTATGAGTACTCTGAAATGCCTAACTTACACTTTAACAGACAGTAAATACGACCCTAGAAGACTCTTTCGAACTCATAAAAGTACACACTCAGATAGTTCTTCACAACATAGAATGAGGGTCACATATTGTAAATTCCCTCATCCTATGAAGATTTTATCAGTCTGATTAATTAAAGTCTATGAGTCATGGTGGAGCAGTGGTTTGCAGCTTAATTGCTAACTGAAAGGTCGGCAGTTTGAATACACCAGCTGCTCCCTGGAAGCCCTATGGGGCAGTTCTACTCTGTCCTATAAGGTTGCTACGAGCTGGAATCGCCTCGACAGCAATGGGTTTAGTTTTTTTGGTTTTATGAGTCATGAAACTATAGTTGCTTGTACCAAAACCGGTATTCCACTACAGTATACAGTTACACATTAGGCAAAGCCAAAAAAAGTGTCAGTTTCTAACAATTATCCTTTTCTGTCATGTAGCGTCTCTACTAGTTTAAAAATATAAAAAGTAATTTGCTGTCCGTAATTTTGGCCAATGCGATTTTTTTCTGGCTCATTTTCTTTATAATGTTGAAAGCACAATTGAAGATAGTGACAAATTCTCCCTTCTAATTTTTTATTTCTAGTTTTTTCTTCCTATGTCTTATAGGCTTTGTAAGATCAGCCCATAGCACTTTACCTAAAAGGTCGGAAGCATTATGCTTTTAAATGACTAATATTCATTATGATAGCATACCACTTATTTCTTATAATGATCCTAATATAACCTGCTGCAGGGGTATTTTCATTAAATTTATATCTCTCAATACAGTTAGACTGCTAAAAAATTCTCTATTAAGATTAAAATAACAATATTAAAGATCACATTCACATTTCTACATTTCTGACTCCAAACCTTAAACCTTAATTTGTTTTCAAGCCTTCAAATCTTGAGAATCCATTCTTGCAGTTGAAAGCTCAATGGACCTCTCTACCATTTATATAACAATGCATTTAAATATATCAATAATATGGCTTTATAACTGATTACTAGAAAATATTTCGTTCCTTCTCCATTTATTTATTTTTTTGTGTGTTAAAGCAACACACAGGTCACAGCAACCTAATATTATACTGAAAAGCATGGAAGAAATGTACATGTTAACCTATTCTACCGTTTCATTGTTTGGTAATTATATAATGGACAAATGGCCAGCATTATTCTAGTAAAAATTAAACTAAATTTCCTCATGTTGAATAAGTTAAATATAAGTTTGCCTAAGTTAAGGATAACATATGAATAAAAAGCCAGGCCATATAATATTAGGAGCTTTGGTCACTGCCCTTACCTCAACTCTTGCAGCAGCCCAGGAGCCTTGAGCCACTACTCTCCCATTGGATAAGAAGCTGCATAAGGAAGAAGAAAGGCCATTCAGGGGCTTTCTGGCCCCGTAATCCAACAACTGCCACCACCCCGACGGCCTACGGTAGTACTTTAATTATTAGAGAGCAGAGGGTGGCCTGATTTATTATGACCTTCACGGTATATTTTTTTCTAACTTCACAGGGTTATTTTGAAAATCTACCCAATTCAACAAAAAAAAAAGAAAAAAAAGCAAAACGCATAGTATTTATGTCTAGCTTAGGGAATTTTGAGTATAACTGGTTATCTTTTATTTGACACAAGCAGACCAAAGTAATTATCTCTAAGAATTATTCAATCCATTTGCATGTCATTTAGAAAATTAGTATCTCTATCATTAAGTTCAATCGAAAGCACTCTACAAGTGCAAGATAATATCAGTAGATACTTGGCCATGCTAAAAGCTATTAGGGACTTTGGATTCTTACTTAAACTCTCTGGGTTTCAGCTTCATTATCTGAAAACTGAGGGAATTGGAGAAGATAGGTAAGTTTCTTCCTAGGTCTAACATTCCATGGTAATACTAGGAGCGTACTGTAATAATGCTGTCATATAAGTTCCATAAAATAAAATGCCTTTTTAATACCTAACTAGAGTATAAGTAAGTATTCATAAGGCAATATTATACTACCTAAATAATTCTAACAGTGCTTCACTTCTCAGAAAAACTTTGAATACTCACTTGAGAGTCCTCATCTTTCAGCGCATGCTGTGGCATCTGCTCCGTATCAGATATTTCATCTGAAGACTCATTCTTTCTTTTTTGTTTCTTACCCAATGTAATAATGAGTTTGCTGTTTCAAGAGGGAAAGGGTAAACAATAAGAACTCTTTGCAGTTTTCCATATTTTGGTCAAACTAAAATGGCCATGATAAACTTTCTTCCACTTTACGTTACTTGAACGTCCAACCAAAGATGGTAATTAACATGAAATACATAATATTTTTAAAAGACAAACTCTATTTTAATGGAATGAATATAAACTAATACTGCACTTAATGTATATCTAAGAATAGAAAGACAGTCAAGTCATGCCACTTGTTACTTAGGATCAAGATTACTTTTTGTTCTCGGGGGACATCTAGGTCAAGTGGCATAACACAGTTCATAAAGATAAGGTTTTCATCCTACTTTGATGAGTAGCATCTGGGGTCCTAAAAGCTTGTGAGTGGCAATCTAAGACATATTTATTGGTCCCATCCTGTCCACAGCAAAGGAGAATGAAGAAAACCAAAGACAGAAGGAAAATATCATTCCAAAGGACTAATGGATTATGTGAACCACAGCTTCCACCAGCCTGCGCCCAGAAGAACTAGATGGTGACTGGCTACCACTACCGATTGCTGTGACAGGGATCACAATAGAGGGTTCTGGACAGAGGGAGAAAAATGTAGAACAAAGTTCAAATTCACACACACACAAAAGAAGACCAGACTTACTGGTCCGACAAAGACTGGAAGAACCCCTGAGACTATATATTATATAGCCCCCCAGACACCCTGTTAACTCAGAACCAAAGCCACTCCCAAAGTCCACCTTTCAAAGTTTAGACAGGCCTATAAAACAAACAATAACACACATGAGCAACGTGCTTCTTAGTTCAGTCAAGTATACAAGACGAAATGGGCAACACCTGCCCAAAAGCAAAGACAAGAAGGCGGGAGGGGACAGGAAAACTGGACGAATGGACACAGAGAACCCAGGGTAGAAAAGGAAAGGAATAGAGTGCTGACAGATTGCGGGGACTGCAACCAATGTCATAAAACAATTCGTGTATAAATTTTTGAATGAGAAACTAATTTGCGCTGTAAACATTCACCTAAAGCATGATAAAATTTAAAAACACTTTACCATTAAAAAAAAAAGAGTACTTTTTGGAGAAAAATGCCAGGCGATATAACTACATTTAATAATAAAAATAATTCATTTATTTTATTATCTTGTATATTTGGAATAAGAGATTTTTCTTCCTTCTACCTCTTATTAAATTCAAATTCCACTTATTGTTCCTGAATCACCCCTATTCCCTAAAGGCTTCTACTTCTGTCTACCCTACAGCAATTTCTCCCTTACTTAAAACAATCTAACGATTAATCGCCCTTTAATTATCTCAGTTATGTTAAGACTTATCTTGGCTGTACTATATATTTCTAAAGTATAAGAATTATATTTTTATATTTCCCACAGTATGTAGACATGTAAGTATATATTTATATTTGTATACATATACATATACATATTAATATACATCAAATACAAATATCTAAAATGAAAAAGTTATTTTTCTTCCTCATCGGAGACAGAGGTACAATAGAGTTCACACATTTCTTTATCAGCTATGACAGATGCAGGGAAACGAGTTTAAAGCACCATACTAATCACAAACCATGGTAATTACTAATCAACAAAATTCTATTTTAGATATCTACATTCCAAAAATAGAAAAATCCCCCCATATTTTCTATACCAGGTATTCATTCATTCTTTCAGTGATTAACTACGTGGGAGCACCTGGAGGTTAGCAGCATGCCCTTTGAAAACACAGGTCACGATTTAAACCCTGGCTCTACCATGTACCTATCTGTGAGACACTGGGCAAATTACTTGACCTAATCTTTTAGCCTTAGATTCCTTGCCTTGGAAAGATATTTTAATAGCTATAGCCATTGTTTTTGAGAATTAAAATTAAGTGAGACAGTGCACGTTAGCTTTTAGTGCAGGCTCGACACACAGTAATTTTTTAACTAATGGTTGTTGTTGTTGTTAGCTGCAGTCAAGTCAGATCCCAACTTACGGCAACCCCATGAACAATGTAATGTACCAAATCCATAGGGTTTTCACTGGATGATTTTCGGAAGTAGATCGCCATGCCTTTCTTCCTAATCCTAGTCCGGAAGCTCCACTGAAACCTGTTTAGTATCACAGCAACACGCAAGCCTCCACTGACAGATGCGTGGTGGCTGCATATAAGGTGCAATGGCTGTGAACTGAACCCGGGTCGCCACCATGAAAGGTGACAATTCTACCACTGAACCATAACTGCCCTCTTCAACTAATGGTAACTATTTCTAATTATTATATACAAGGCACTTTCATAGCATCTGGGATTTGAATAAGGTGACACAGTCCCTAACCTTAAAGCACTGTAGTTACTATTATTAGAACGTGATTACAGCTAAAATGCTGACGTGGAAGGTAGCACAGGATATAATGTGAACATAAAGGAAGAAGTGCTTAAGTCTACTGAGTGAAGTAAAAGAGGCTTTACAGAGAAGGTAAAATTCGAGATAGGACTTCAATGATGAGCACGTCAACAGATAGTGAAAGAGGAAGGGGATACATTCAAGCAGGGATGTACCACAGAAGAGTGAGGAGAATATGGAGTGATAATAGCATGACAGGAAGCCACAGAGGACTGCAGGAGGAGAACACTGAGAGCTGGACAGGTAGGTAGGGTGAATGTCACCAAAGGCAGTGTATGACATATAAGGAGTTAACATTGTATTTTAAGGCCAGCGTTTAAGCTACACAGGGAAGGAATTTAAAAGGCGTCATTACTGGCCACAAATGTTTAATGAATGGGGACTGAGATATTTTTGAATGTACAGAAAAAAGAAGGCAATTGGAAGACATACAAATTTTGAATAAGGGAAAAATATGACTAGACGGAAGTGAAATGCAAGGCAGGGAAACCAGTTATAAAACAAACATCCATTCAGGTGAGAGATGAAAAGAGTAATCTAGGGCCATGGCAACATAGATGAAGAGGTGAAGAAAGATGCAATTTTCTTATGGTGGAAGAGGAACCAATAGGACTAGATTACTGACTAGATGACTGGATATGAGAAGAGATAGAAAATTCTACAATGATTTATTCCTAGAATATTTTTGTCTTGGTATGATCACCATGTTCAAAAGGATAATGATAATTTTTACTGGCTATCTTCCTTGCTTGCATAGTTCTGAGTATGTGAAAAAAAGTAAAGAGATTACTTATGTTAGAAGCAAGGAATCAGGAAATACCAAAAGATATTCTGAAACAACACTAAGGAAATAACCAAGGTTACACCCTATTCTCTCTCATCACTTTCATTGGTCATTTCCCTTTGTTTCTGGTCTCCCGACCTAAAATAAAAATCGCCCTTGAGATCAAACCTACTGTTAGATACAACATGATATCTTTTTTCCTCCTTCTCATCACAGTTCTCCAAAAAATGATCTATTCTGCTTCATTTTCATTCCTAAACTGAAAAAACAAATGTACTTTTCTGAAGTTACATTATATATAAACATTAGTAGACTGTTACACTATAAGGTTTAGGGAATAGGAGGGATTGGATCTGGAAGTATTTTGAGATTGAGATACCTAAGCAGAACATTTACTTTTATATGTCTAATAAGCAGTTGGTTATAATACGAACACTTTAGACTACTTTTCATATTCACGTTGTTGTTGTTAGTTGTCAGCGAGTCAGCTCTGACGCACGGTGACTATAACAGAATGGAATGTTGCCCTGTCCTACATCATCTCCATGACGTTTTTACATGTTTGAGCCCATTGTTGAGGCTGTTGTGTCAATCCATCTCATTGACGGTTTTCCTCGTTTTCACTGACCCCTCTAGTTTACCAAACATGATGTCCTTTTGTAGCAATTGGTCTTTCCTGATGACATGTCCAAAGTAAGCAAGATGAACTCTCGCCATCCTCGCTACTATGGAGATTCGGTTTTATTCCTTCTAAAACTGATTTGTTTGTTCTTCTGGCAGTCCATAGTATATTCAGTATTCTTGACCAACACCACAATTCAAATGTATCAATTCTTCTTTTGTTTTCTTTATTCACTGCCCAGCTTTTGCATGCATATGAGGCAACTGGAAAGACCACAGCTTGGGTTGGATGAAGAGGTGAAAAAAGATGCAATTTTCTTATTTTGGAAGCAGAATCAATAAGACTTGGTACACCTCAGTAATCAAAGTTGTATCTTTGCTTTTTTAAAACTTTAAAGAGGTCTTTTTCAGTAGATTTGCCCTATGCAATTCATCATTTGATTTCCTGGCTACTGCTTCCATGGGCACTGATGATCCAAAAAGAACAAAATACTTGACAACTTCAATTTTTTCTAATGAGATGCTTCAACAAACAGATGTGACACTGAAGTGCTCATTCATCTATGTCAAGAAATCTGGAAGACGGCTACCTGGCCAACCAGATGGAAGAGATCCATACTTATGCTCATTCCAAAGAAAAGTGATCAAATAGAATGGGGAAATTATTAAATATAATTAATCTCACTTACTAGCAAAATTTTGCTGAATATAATTAAAAAATGACTATAGCCATACACTGATAGGGTGCCAGAAATTCAAGCTGGATTCAGAAGAGAAAGTAGAATGAAGGATATCATTGCTGATGTCAGATGGATCTTGGCTGAATGCAGAATACCAGAAAGATGTTTACCTCTGTTTTATTGACTATGCAAAGGCATTTGACTGTATAGGTCATAATAAATAACAGATAACATAAATAATGGGAATTCCAGAGCACCTAATTGTGCTCATATGGAAGCTGTACATGGATCTAGAGGCAGTTGTTTGAACAGAGCAAGAGGATACTGTGTGGTTCAGGGTTGGAAAAGGTGGATGGCAGGGTTGTATCCTTCTACCTTACTTATTCAATCTGTATGCTGAACAGATAAACCAAGAAGCCAGACTATATAAAAATGAACATGGAACACGGCATCAGGGTTGGAGGAAGACTCATTAACAACCTGTGATATACAGATGACACAACCTT